GGGACCACAGGTGCTATGGATTGACTCGTGTCCCCCAAAAAAGGATAAGTTGAAGTCCTAACCCCACCCCCCCAACCCCCGTACCTCAGGATGTGATCTTATTTGGAAATAGGGTCTTTACAGAGATAATCAAGTCAAAACGAGGTCATCAGGGTGGGCCCTCATCCGATACGGCTGGTGTCCTTATGGAAAGGGGAGATGTGGGTGCAGAAAGGGACACACATAGAGGGGGACAGTGTGAACAGGGAGGTGGCCATCTGCAAACCAAGGAGAGGGGCCTGGAGCAGGTCCTTCCCTCACAGCCCTCAGAAGGGACCAACCCTGCCAGTACCTTGATCCCAAGCTCCGTTCAAGCCACCCAGTTGTGGTCCCTTATTGCAGAAGCCATAGCAAACTAACGTAAATGACTCACTGCTGGGTGACATGGGGACAGTAACACCTACCCTGCAGGACTGTTTTAAGACTCTGATGAGAGGATGCATGTAAGGCAATTAGCATGGCCCTGGGTGTATAGTAAGCGCCTAATAACAGCAGTGGCTGTTAATTTTGTGCTGTGGCCTGCCTGCGGAAGGCAGCCAGGCCAGGACAAGAAGGCCTCAGTTTAGACCTTTCCAAGAGAACTGGGTCACCTGAGGCACCCCTTCAAAAGCCTCTCTAAAAATGGAGATGGCCAGAGAAATCACTATTAATGCAGTGCCCTAATGGTTTTTAGCTAGAGAGTGGTCTTAGGCCTAATTGACAAGGCCGAGAAGATGAGGTTTCTTTGTTTTTATATACTGGGTACACTTTGAGTGTGTTGAGCTGCTATGGGTAATCAATAAATGCAGTCATCACGGCCATTTTATGGGCATTTTGTAAAGGAGGTGGAATGGTTTCGAGGGAAGGACACTCCCTGGGTGACCCTGAGCAAGTCCATTATCCTCCTTGGGCCTCAGTTTCACTGTCTCTGCAGAGTGAAGGAGAAAGAAAGAAAGACAGAGCTCCTGCAAAGGGTGGGAGTTCTCAAGCTGGGTCTGTGGAGGCCTAAAAGTTAAGTGTAAGTTCTGTGCACATACTTGCATCTTGGGGGAAAAGCATTCATAGCTTTTGTCTGGTTTTTGAAGGGGCCTCTGACTCTCAACTTGTCTACCATGACTGGCCCAGATAACTTCTCAGGGCTGCTGCTGCTTCCTGGCTGGTCGGAGACTCTGGTTCTAAAGCTGTTTCTAAGAAGTAAGTTCTACTGAAGCGGCTGCTCTGAGTTACTGGGGATCAGGAATGTATCAAAAGAGCTCCCCCAAGACCTTAATTGCTGGGCCTTTTGCTGGCCAGGGAAGCCCCAGCTGCCCATCACCCTGTGTCTCTGCTTTGGGCCCTCCCTCCTGTCCCACAGCCCCTTGGTGGTGTCTGAGAGGTATCAATACCTTCCCAGCCTGCCGCCGACTCCTCACCGCACAGCAGGGCAAAGCTTCATCTGTAGTGACAGCTGCTCCTCGTAGCTCGCATCAGGGCCTAAGCTCCACCTCCTGTCAGATCAGCAAGGGCAGTAGATTCTCATAGGAGCATGAACTCTACTGTGAACTGTGCAATGTGAGAGATCTAGGTTGCAGCTCCTTATGGGAACCTAATGCCTGACGATCTGAGGTGGAGCTGAGGTGGTGATGCTAGCACTGGGGAGCAGCTGCAAATACAGATTTCATTAGCAGAGAGGTTTGACAGCACAGAGACCATAATAAATCACTGTCTCCCATCACCCCCAGATGGGACCGCCTAGTTGCAGGAAAACAAGCTCAGGGCTCCCACTGATTCTGCATCATGCAGAATAATTATTTAATAATCACTAATTATATATTTAATCATCATTAATTATTAATAATTATTATCAATAAAATATTTATTAAATTTAACAATTAATTTTAAAATAATAATTGATGTTGAATTTGATATTTAATGATTATTTAATAATAATTATTTCATAATTATTTTGTATAATTATTTCATTATATATTACAATGTAATAATAATAGAAATAGAGTGCACAATAAATGTAATGCACTTGAATCATCCCAAAGCCATCCCCACTCCCAACTCCCCGGCCCCCGCCCCGCAGTCTGTGAAAAAATTGTCTTCTATGAAAACAATCCCTGGTGCCAAAAAGGTTGGGGACTGCTGGCCTAACCCATCTCCCTGCTTCTGTGCTGGCCCTGCCCCCATCACACTTGAAGTAAAGCCCAAATCCCTTACAATCCCTGCCTGACCCAGCCTCCACCTGCCTCTCTGGGGTCATCTTCTCCCATCCCCCCACCCCCACTCACTGAGCTGCAGCCTCACTGACCTCAGCGCCTTGTGCCGTAGGCTCGGTCCCGACTGGGGTCCTCGCCTTTGCTGGTCGCCCTGCCTGGAACGCTCTTCCCTCCTCTTCCATTGCCTGGCTTCTCCTCCGAGTCTCAGCTCAGATGGCAGCCCCTCCAGGAAGCCTTTCCTGACACCTGTCTAAGGGATCCTACTCCCTGTGTTGTCCTCCATCGAGTGTGTACCTGGTTTGTTTCTCCTTTGTAGCACCAACTCAATCTGGAATGAAATATTTAGTTATTTTCTTCCCCTACTAAAACATCATCAGCTCACGAAAGAAGGAACCAAGTCTTACACATCACAGTGCCTGGTTCATAGCAGCATTGAATAAATGCTTGAACACGCCCACTAGAGTGGCTAAAATTAAAGTGGCTGAGAATACCAAGTGCTGGTGGGGGCAAGGAACAACTGGACTCTCATACAGCTGATCGGGGTTGGGTGGACAGAGTAAGTGTTCTCTCATTTTGGAGAACAGTTTGTAGTTTTATAAAGTTACACACACACTTACTTTATGACCCAACAATTCCACTCCTAGGTATTTACCCAAAAGAAATAGAAATATGTCCAAACAAAGACTTGTACACCAATATTGCAAACTTACTCGAAATGGCCAAGAACTAGAAACAAACCAATTGTCCATCTAGAACAGGCAAAACCTCCAGCATCCCAGAGCCTGACTGGGCATGAAGGAGAAAGGAAGTTTCCAAAGGCAGCCAGCTCAGAGAGGCCACCTGAGTCCCTTGCAGCACATGCAGCCATCAAGTGTGGGTGGTTCACAGCCAGGGTGGGTGACAGCTGGGGGGTTCCCTGGGGGACCCAGAGATGAAGGCAACACCTGTGTCCCTCTCGTGTTCAGATTCCCAACCAGGTTCGGAAGCATTCAGCTCTTCTCTGGAAAGTCAGAATTTATAATCACAGGTTTCGTTTGTGTGATTATTTGTTTACTGTCATCCTCCCTGACCCCCGGCACATAAGTTTCAAGAGGACATTGGTTTTGCCTGTTTCACCCCTGGCTGTGCGCAGCACCCAGCACAGTGCCTGGTGGCAGTGGCACTCAATATTTCGGGTTGTTGAATGCATGGGGATTGGAGAAAGAATGGGCAGGCCGGGGACAGGGGAGGGCATGTCCCTGGAGACGGACCTGCTGGGCACCCTGCTGCCTGGCCTGAGTGCAGGGGACCAGCCCGTGAGAGCACCCAGCCCTGGGGCTGCCTGTGCAGGCAGTATTCTTGCAAAATGCCAATTAAGACATTTGACCCAAATTTGGATAAAAGCCTTTTTCCTGTGTCAAGTTGAGCTAATAATATACATTTATTCATAATTTATGAGGCCTGGTAAGTGGGAACAATTAAGGAAAAGGCCTGGGCAAAACCTATTTCTCTTGAGTGTCACATACACCTCTTTTTGTTCTCTGAGACAGTCCCCACCCCTTTCTTCCTGCCACAAATCACCGTTGTTTTTATTGTCGCTATGATTATCTGTTATGTCAGTGTTAGGGTGGCGTTTATTGAGCGCTTACTGGGCCTTGCTGTAATGTCACCTCTTCTAATCTTGACCACACAAGGCGGGTATTGTGATGAAGGGTCTCACAGCCTGCAAGTGGGGCTTTTGACTCGGGTCTGCCTGGCCCCGGGGCCGATGCTCTTGGTCTCAACGGTGTTCCGTTTCCCAGCCCTGCTGTGGGTAACTGTGAGACTTGGGAGACCAGGGTGAGAAAGGGATCGCCTTCCGGGTTTAGGCCTGAGGATTTGCGTTATTGCTAACGTAACACGTTGCCGGGTGATGTTGGTGCCGCCGATCCTAGGGTCATCTATGTGGGATTCTGTTCTACACGCTGATGTTCTACAGCATAGCCTTTTTATTTATCACGTCTAGGGAGGGCACGTGGATCTGCCTCTTTCTTTCCTGCAGCACTGTAGTGGTTCGTGATACAGGTGTTTTGTGGTTTTATTTACCTATCATTACTGATGTGGTCTTCCACACTTTAGACATTACGAAACTTTCCTGTAAAATCTCTGGGAGCATGGGCGAGTGTTCTCCCAGAACCTAGTACCATTCAGTAATATCAGGCATTGTTATTGCTGTTTATTTCATTATTGATACAGGGGGCTGCTTGTTAGCCTCAAGAAGTCCCTTTATAGGTGGGGGCAGTTATGTAAAGGAGTAGCTCTCTATTTACAGGCTCTAATAAAGTTTCCAACAACACAGTTCTGGTAAGAGGAAAGAGGTGCGTGTGGGCAGGGCTTTGAGGGGTGTGTAAGAGTGCAGAGGAGAGAGGAGCAGAGGGGCTTGAGCTGCCAGGGCTTTGAGGGGTGTGTAAGAGTGCAGAGGAGAGAGGAGCAGAGGGGCTTGAGCTGCCAGGGCTTTGAGGGGTGTGTAAGAGTGCAGAGGAGAGAGGAGCAGAGGGGCTTGAGCTGCCGGGGCTTTGAGGGGTGTGTAAGAGTGCAGAGGAGAGAGGAGCAGAGGGGCTTGAGCTGCCGGGGCCTGGCTTAGCTACCAGCAGATTTCACCATTGCAAGGGGTGGGGCAGATCTTTCCATTTCTTGGCCAGTTAGCAAAATGGGTCCTTGGCCGAGGGTCCAGATGGGCAGCATCGTGGGTAAGAGGGTCCCTGCTTGGGTCTAGCCAGGCTCAGCTCTGATCTACGTCCTTCCTTCCTGTCTCCTCAGGCTGGCGTGTCCGGGGAGGAGCAACTGTGCGCTGACTTCCCGGAGCTCGACCTCTCCCAGCTGGATGCCAGCGACTTTGACTCGGCCACCTGCTTTGGGGAGCTGCAGTGGTGCCCCAACTCCGAAACCGAACCCAGCCAGTACGGCCCCGATGACTCCGAGCTCTTCCAGGTGTGCCTCTCTCTGCCCTCCAGACCTGGCTCTGCCCCGCCCCGCCCCACCTTCTCCTGCACGCGCTCACGCACAGACGTCCTCTCGCTCGCCAGAGCTCTGGGACCCCGTTTCTTGCGCTGGATCTGCGCCTGATCCGAAGCAGCTCTCACCCCTCACCTGGCCTGCGCTGTCACCTCCAGACAGCAAGGGCTGGGATGAGCTGCTCTCTGTGCCGTCCAGGCAGAACCAAGCCCTTCTGTGGGCCGGGGGTGCTCCAAGCCCTCCGTTCCCTACATCATCTCATCGAATCCTCATCCCCACCCTGTGAGTCAGGCTCCATTATTTTCCCATTTTGCAGATAAGGAAATCGAGTCGTGTGTGCCTCGGGCGATTTACCTGGCCAGTAGTAGCTGAACTAGATTCAAACCCAGTCTTCTTGCCTCGGGAGCCAGGACTTTATAACCATGACAGCACCGCAGTGAGAGTGCATTTATTGAGCAATGGTTTGTGGTAGGACTGTCCCTGTTTGTGTGTATTTACTCATTTAAATCTCTTAACAGCTCTCAGCCATAAATACAGTGATCTCCGTTTTTCAGTTGGCGCCTAGAAAGTTCCTTAACAAGAGGCGGTGCCAAGAACTGCTGTGCACGTGTCTCTCCCAACCCTCTGTGCTCCGGCAGCCAGGCTCGGGCACGAAATGCTTGACATTATGATGTCCGAGCCTTGCTTCGGGATAAAGCAAGCCCTGCGCGGATCTGCACGTGTGGGTGGGAGCGTGTGGCGTGGAGGGTAAGAGATGAAAAAAGATGGGCCGTGTTTAGCGGTATGATGGGCACATCCACCATTCTTTTCTTGGACTTTTCTTCCCCATGAAGAATAGGGGCAGAAGCTGCCTGTGTCTATTGGGCAGTATAACAGCAGCAGCATGACATTCTGTGTGCCACATGCCATGGGGGGGAGGGCGCCAAAAGCATCATTGCAAAGAGCCCTGATGGATGTTATCGTTCCTCCTAGGCATGTTTGTCGAGCCCCCTGTGTGCCAGGCACTGTGTTCCTAAGTAGACTTTGCAGTCTAGAGGGGAAAACTTAACCTTAGATCGATAAACACATAAACGAACAGTGATCACTTGTGACCAGGGCAAAAAAGGAAATGAACCCAGGAAGAGAGAAGGATCTGCAGGCCGAGGGGACAGGAAAGGCCTCTCCAAGAAAGAGGCAGCCGTGTGCGAGCAGGGACAGAGCTTCCCGGGCAGAGGAAGCAGCACGTGCAGAGCCACGAAACCGGAAAGGCTCGCGGCGTTGGGGGAATAGAAAGGCGGAAAGGCAGTAGCGAAGGCAGCGTGGTAAGAGAGAAGGCCGGAGGGGTAGGCAGGGGCCAGATCATGCAGTCTTGTGGGCCACGGTGAGCAGTCTGGAGTTTTCCTGAGACTGTTCTAATCTATAAGTTGCACACTACTAATAATCCCTTTTACGGGTGAGGAAAGTGACGCTCACAGAGGTTAAGTAGCTGGCCCGTGGTCGCACAGGACCGGAGCAGAGGCTCTAACGTGGGAAACCCACACCTTCACCGCCTCGCCCACCCTGTGAGGAGTCGCGGGGCTGGGCTGTCCTTCTGGCTCCATGTAGAGACCTCCATCTCCTTATCTGAACAATGGGGATGACACCTTGGCTACGTTGCTCCTTTCCTCTTCAGGGGCCAACTTCCAGAAGACGCTTTCAGGTTGCAGAGGGCTAAGGAGCGAGCGGGGTCTGGGCGCTGCCTGGAGGCCATCCCCACTCAGAGACTGGCCAGGCCCACCGAAAGCCCCTGCGGAGGGGCTAACGGCTGCAGCTGGCAGAACTCTGCCCGCCCAGCCCCTCTCCCCTGCGTGGCGGCACGCCCTGCCAGCTCCCCCAAGACTAGGCCAGCTCCCTCCATGCCTCATGGAATGCATAAATCCTTCAACACCCAGTTCCCTTGTCGCCTCCTCCTACGGCAGTTGGTCAGTTACTTCCGCTCGTGGGCTCCCGTCTATCTTGCGTGTGTGTGTGTGTGTGTGTGTGTGTGTGCACGCTCATTTGTCCTTCAGACTGTGTGCTCCTTGAGGGCAAATAGTACTTTGTTCATCTCTCGGGCCTGCTAAGGGCCAGACATGATGCATTCCAAAAACCTTGAGCTGGGACCCGGGGCCGTAGGTTCTGATCCTCCTTCTGGTGCTAGCCGGGCCCGCTTCCCTGGAGGCCAGTGGGAATGCTGGGGCTTGCTGCCTGCGCCAGACCTGTGTTCTGACAGGCAGATGACTCCGTGGCTGTGGAAACAAACCAGGAGAGTGGAGAGCACACTACAGTTATAGGGGTTGACAGCTTCTCAGGGACAGGGACATTGCCTTCCACTTCTGTATGACCAGAGTCCTTAGGGCTGGGCACGGCAGGCACTTAATACATTTTTCTGGAGTCAGCAGGTGTTTGGCTGTTCTGCCACAATTTGCCGTGTGGCCTTGGGCAAGTGGCTCCCTGTGGTTGGGCCTGAGTTTCCCAGCGGAGGAATGAGGGAGGAACATGGACTAGATCTGTGTGGTTCTTAATCTCCTGGGGCTGGAGGAGGAGTCAGTGGGTCCTCTCAGACTCTGATGAAATAAATCATGGACCTACTCCTAGAAAAACTAGGGTGGGGGGCAATTTCCTGGGTTTCTTGGGCCTCAGCTAAGCCCCCTGGGTGGTGGAGGATCCCTGAGTGTTCCTTCAGCCCTGATAACCTAATTCTGTTCTGTGACATTCCTTCAAGCCACTCTAGGTCCTCAATATGAAGCATTTTCCCCTCAGATTTCTTGAAGGCTCCTTTTCCTCCAGCTTGAGATCAGCTCAGGAGAGTTGGGGGTGGGGCCGAGTCTATTAATATCCCTTCCTCAGCTGATTAACTCTCCATTAATTTGCACTCCGTTTCTAAGCGGAGCAGGGAGAGCCGAGCCAATGGGCCGGGGGAGGCGGAGGGGGCGGCACGGCTCCCGTGATGTGTTGCCTTAGGGTGCTGACGGCTGGCCGGGGAGCGGTGGCCGCGTGGGCAGGGATGGCCAGGGATAGCCGTGCTTCCCAGCCGGGCTCAAGGCCTCCAGATCCGCTTGGCAGTCCCAGAGCTCAACAGCCCAGGGAGGGGTGGGGCAAGGGGAGGACTTTTGTTAGTCATTTTTTTTGTGCCCAACCTGATGGGTGCTTCTTGAGGGCTTTGCCCTTTCGGACTCATGTCAGCTCTATGCCTAGCGTTCCGTAAGTCAGTGTTGGCACTCTCAGTCCTGGGTTCCAGTCCCTGACCCCGGGACCCCTGACTTGCCGTGTGACCTTGAAAAGTCTCTTTCCTGGGGCTTCATCCCCCCCGCAACACGCCAAAAAATAAAGAATGGCAGTGAGTGCCAGCTGTGATCGACTGGCAGCTGTCTCCTGCTGACCTGCTCCAGGAAAATGCTGGTGTGGGAGAAGCAGCCACAGCTGGTTGGCAGTACTGGGGCGCGGGAGCGCATGTGCCACGTGTGTGGCAAACCTGGTCACTGCGTGATGCCAGCGAGCCCTTCTGATATTTGTGATAATTCACGACGTCTCTGGGGCATTTGCTACCTTCCCTGGGAACGGGTGGGAATTCTCAGTTTATGCAGTGCTGATGATGTCATTTCCGGATGACTTCCCTCTAGAACCTGGCCTTGGAGACACTGAGCTCAGCCTCCCACCACTGTCCATTGTTCGATTCATTCATCCTTTCATTCATCACATCCACCACAGCACCCCCATGCCCCAGGCACTGAGCTAGGCACCTGAACATCTACAAAGCCCTCTCGCCACCACCTCTAGGCTTGGCTTCTGCAGGAGCCCTGGGAGGGAGGCTGGCCAAGGGATCATGACTTCCTGTTTCACAGGAAAAGGAACAAGGCCAGGAGGAGGAAAGCGACTTGCCCAAGGTCACCCTGTCGATGGCAGAGCCCCATGTGTTCAGCCCCAAGAGTGGTCATTGAGCCCCAAGTTCCAGGATCTCAACTCTCCGTCAAGCTGGAGAAATTATTCTGGGAACACAGGATTGGGGGTCCAGCCTGAGGGTTGCAGGAGACCCACAAGTGTTGGGTAGGGGGGCAGCCCAGTGAGCCGCACCGCATTCTCGAGGTGGAGCCCATGGGGCAGTCCTGGTCTGGCCTTGGGCCCCCATTCCCCAGGGCCTGGGTCAGGCCCAACCCAAATCTTCTTGTGACCTTTCTTTTATTCTTAGCTCTGTTCTAAAAATTACAAACGTGTTTGTTCTCCTCTCCCCACGTCCCCCCTTTCGAATTACTCAGCTGCTGCTCTGGCTGCGAGGCCTGGAACAGATTTAGTGCAGCCAGAGGCCGTCACGAGATGCGTATTTCAGATGAACTTCCTGAAGGCAGGATAAACAGCCCGACCCAGGGTGTGCCTCTGCCAGAGCAGGCCGGGCCAGGCTGTGCTGAGGGAGACCCTCGCTGCCCCCGCTGGAAGCGACGTGATCACAGTGCCGGGCCTGGGTGGGGTGTGTGACGGAGCTCAAACTGCGGGAGAGGAAGAGCTTTGGCTCATCTGCTCGAGGGGCGCTCGGTCCGAGGCCTGGCTCTGCCCTTCATTTGCTGTGCGCCCCATGACATGTTGCTGAGCCTCTGCGAGTCTCTGTTTCCTCACCTGCAGACTGACGATTGGAACCGTGCTCCCTGGGCTGGGTTGTGGGGCTGCCCGAGGCAAGATGGCTCATCAGCCAAGCCCTGGCCTTTGGCTGGGTCTTCCCCCTGCCTGGATCTTCTCTCCTTAGCCCTTAGCCTGGCTGGTGTCTTTCGAGCCTAAGTTTCAGTACCAGCTGCTCAGGGAAGTCTTCTTGGCCACCCTAAGTAGCCCATAAACCTCCACCATGTTCATCACGGCTTCCTTTGATTTTCTTCCCAGCCTTTCTCACTGTCTTCAATGATCCTGTTTCTTTATTGTCACTGCCGCCATCACTGTCATCATAGCAGGCATCACGGTAGTAGTGGCAGCAATAGATATGGTCAAGGTTGTAGTCATCATGGTAGCTGGCTCTTATTTTGTGCCAGGCACTATTTTCTGAGTATCTTATCTATGTTGACTTATCTGGTCCTCAGCAATGACCTCAGCAATGAAATACGTACTGTTTGTTATCCCATTTGACAGATGAGGAAACTAACTTGCCTAAGGACCCACCGTTGATAAGTCTGGGATCTGGAATTCAGCCCCAGTTCTTGAGCCCGGGTTTCTAACCGCCACACTCACTTCCTGTCCTTGAGTGAACGAGCAGGGCAAGCCCTGGGGACCCCGGGCTGTGGTTGTCATTGTTGTGGTTGAACCGTGGAGCTTCTGGCCTTCGCACTGCCTGGGCCCCAGGGTCCGAGGGGCTGGGGCTGCAATGGGATGCTGCTGCCACTGGGTGGAACAACTTCCGTCCTTGGTGGAGGAGGCAGGCGTTGCTCAGATGGCCACGGTCACACACTGTTGAGCAACAGAGCCAAGACTGGGACTTCCAGGGCAGGCCCCTTCTATTGTCATCTGCTGCCCACTCATAAAATTCTGGGATTCTTGGCACTGATAACACGTTTATTGGGCATCTGCTATCCCAGGAATACTGAGCAGCTCTGGTGAAAGGTGGCAGGAGAGTGACGGTGGCCCAGCTGGGTGGGAAGAGTCAGTTTTCACTGTGAAGGCCAAGGTTAAGGCGGTTACTAACCATCTTCCCTCTCTGCCTTTCTACTGCTCCTGCCCTCCTCACTCCAGATCGACAGTGAGAATGAGGCGCTCCTGGCAGAGCTCACCAAGACCCTGGACGACATGCCCGAAGATGACGTGGCTCTGGCTGTCTTCCCAGCCCTGGATGGTGGGGACGTGCCATTCTGCACCTCAGCTTCCCCTGCCCCCTCATCTGCGCCCCCCAGCCCTGCTCTGGAGACACTCCCGTCCCCGGGCCCTGAGATGGATGAACTCTCCCTGGTGAGAACCTGTTTCCAGCCGAAGCGAAGGTTTTGGCCTGGGATTGGGTGTCTGGTTGTAGGGGGTGGGCACAGAGCAATCAGCTCCAGCGCCACAAGGGTGTCCCCGTGCACCGCCGCCAGCAGCATGGGTCACAGCAGGGAACCTGGGCTGGAGGTGGGAGGCCGCCCTGGGCCCCACCTTTCCCACCTAGACAGCAGCACTAACTTCAGGCTCTTGGGGATTTCAAGGATTGACCTGGTCATGTGTTAAATCCCTGAAATTACATGCAAACATTTTCCTAAAGATTATATACACACAGTAAAAATCCAAATAGTAAATATGAACAGTTAAAAGCAAAACCTCCTTAGCCCTCTCTCAATGGCTTTTTCCTTCCCCAGAGGTAACCATGGTTACTGATGTGTTATGTGACATTCCTCTTCTACCTGTTTTGTTTTTGTTTTTTTTTACTACGAAAGGGAGCCTACATTAGATATGGTTCTGTACCTTGCTCTCTCAGTTAACTGCGTATCTCAGAAACTCTTCCAGATGAGTATATAATACTCTGTTTCATTCTTTTTGTTGGCTATGTAGTGTTCCTTGGTAAGGATGTACCATAATTTATTTAACCAGTCCCCTGTGGATGGCTATTATGTTGTTTCAACTCCTTCATTATTACAAACAGTGCTGCAGTAACTCCTCATATAGGCCTTTTTGACATGTAAGTAGATAAATTCCTAGAAATGAAACTTCTGGGTCTCCGGATACATGATTTTTCAGTTTAGACAGATACTTCCAGATTGCCCTCCAAAAAGGTTGGGCTGGTTTGCAGTCCCATCAGCAAGAGCTAAGTGCTTTGTGAGTATCTGTAGACATGTGCACACGGAATAGCAGCTTTCTAAGGAGGAGATCTCAGCTGTTACCAGACTTTCAAAAGGATCTGGACTTCAAAAGTTACCGAAAGCTGCTGCTGCCCTAGACTCGGGCTGACGGTGCCCAAAGCTGAGTAGTCGTGTGCTGTGGCTTCTGGAGGCTGGCGGGACCCCGCTGGAACCAGAGCCTGCCGAACCCGAGAGGGGTCTCAGGTCATGCAGAGGCTAAGCTGGGAAGGCCCGTCTGGGGAAACCGAGGCCCAGCGTGGGGAGGGTATCTCCTGTGGTCACACAGCAAGTCAGTGTGCCAGCAAAGACTGGAACTCTGGTGTTCCGACTCCTGGTCTAGACCCTTTTCCCTTCCTTCCCACCACCTCCAAGTTCCCCAAAGCAGTGTGACACATGCAGTGAGCACCCAGCACGCGCTGGGCATGGAATGTATTTGGTCCCATGGTGTGGTTCCTCCTTCCTTGTAGACAGGAGTCAGACTGCCTGGGTTTAAATCCCAGCCTTGCCAATTAGTACTTGCGTGTCCCTCCAGCACATGCCCTGAACCTCTCCAAGATGTGGCTGCCTGATCCGTAAGGTGGGGTTAATTAAAACCATGCTTATGTCAAAGGTTTTAGGAAGATTACAGCAGATAATACAGGTAAAGCACTTAAAACAGGGCCTGGCACATAGAGTTGCTCAGTAAACACTAGCTAAGTCATACTTCTGGCACAGCCATTAGCAATAACAGTTCTCGGTGCCATTTCTGTGTGGGGCCTCTGGCGGGGGGCCCAAACCTTGGGGAGGTAGAGTGGCCCCTGCTGGTCACAGATTGTTTCCCTCCCATGTGTGCATTCCACACATGTTTACTGAGTGCTGCGCTAGGCACACAGGAAGCAGACTCCCTGTCTAGACTCCCAGCATACTGACAGAGTTCTAGAAAGGCCCTGAGAAGTCATCCAGACCCCAGGTTGGGCCATGGATCCCAGAGTCCAGCAAGGGACTTACAAGGACCCATGGACTCTACGTATCTGTGCATTTTTCTGAGGTCAGCAGCTTCTATCGTCTTCTTAGAGTCTTAAAAATGTTTAGAACCAGCCATTTACTCTCCCTGCCCCTCATTATACCAGTGGAGAAACCAAGGCCCAGAGAAGGAAATGACTTGCCCAAGGTCCCACAGTGAGTCGGGCCTGAGCAGGGGCTAGAACGAGGTCTAATTCCTCCAGTCCAGGGACTCTGTCCAAAGCCAGGGAGTCACAACATGGGGTCTAGGTAGGGTGGTGGAAATCCTCCAGCTCCTTGGGAGAGTGTGGAGTGGCCTTTTCTTTGGCTCCTTGTTGGGGTGGCACGTACTTCAAGGAAACACTCAGTGCTGTATTAAAATCTCACTGCGTTTCTCAGCTTGTCCCAACCTCGGCCATGGTAGGATCCCTGGTGGAATTTCCAGGTGTATTCAGCATCTTGTCCTCTCAGCTCAGACACTTTGTGTACCTGCCCTCAGGGTGCAGAAGCAGAAGAGTTTTAATTATTTCTATAGAAAAATTAGTTGGGGGAAAAAAACACAAGCTTAAGTGTGCAGTATTCTTCCCCTTGTGCACAGACAACAGGGCAGGTTGGAGGCGATGTATGCATTGTATGTTCTTGTGTGAACAAAGCCCACCTCGTGATAGACTCACAGGAAAGTGGTTAATGGTAGTTGCCTCTGGGAGGGAGGAAGGGACTTTGGGCAGGAGGCAGACTTGCTTTTAATGGTCCACCCTTTAGTATTTGTGACGTGTCTGTTTTCTTAAAGGTAATATGAGTAAGCAAAAAGAACAAATGAGAAATCAGCTAGAATTCCACAGCTGAGAATCATTCTGTACCTAACCTTCCAGAGTGTGTGTGTGTGTGTGTGTATGTGTGTGTACCACAAGTACATGCAGTGTCCCCATAAGATATACATGCTATTTTAACAGCAGAATGGACAGGCGCTAGACAGACATTACCCAGGACCTCTTTGGGTTCTCAAAGTCACAGCTATTCTCCAGGGTTATTAACTCTGAAAAGGATTTACGTGTCACTGGGATTCTTGTGTGTGTCTGGGATTATTAGACAGTCTGCCACCGGCACTGAATATCTTGGGGACGTCATTCCAGGTCATGGAATGCTCGGTGCTGTGATGCCAGGGCCAGAGCATGGTCAGGCTGGAGGGGCTGGCCGTGTGGCCCGCGCCCTCTCGCCGCGGCTCCACACCAGCTCCTGACCTCTCTGCTTCTCCCTCAGCTGCAGAAGCTCCTCCTCGCCACATCCTCCCCCACGTCAAGCTCTGACACCCAGAAGGAAGGGACCGCCTGGCGCCAGGCAGGCCTCAAGTCCAAAAGTCAGCGGCCTTATGTCAAGGTATTTCTGTGCATGCCCCAAAATCTGCCCAACTCCCCCCCCAGGTGACCTCTTGGGGACACAGCCTTCAGGTCTAGCGAAGGATATCAAGTTCGATGAACTTCTCATTTCACTTCCTGCATAAGCCAGAGCACCTGTAGCCGGGGTCCTAGGCTCTGCTCTTGAGATCCAGCCCAGCCTGGGGTTCTAGAAAGAGCCCTGGGGTTCTCACACTTCAGTGCTCCAGACACCGGTGACAGCAGGCACCAGGAAGACGTGGCCTGCTCTTAGGGGCTTGTGTCCTAATGGTATGACAGACCCGAATGCAAGGTCCTCCCTGGTAGTAGAGGCCACAGCAAATAAAGAGCTTGGATTTCTTTTCCGGGGAGCCATTGGAGAGTTTAAGGCTCCGTCGTGGACACGCAGGGTCCCGGCAAGTCCCTTTCCCCCCTTGGGCCCTGTCTTCCAAACCTAACAAGGAGAGGTTTAACAGGTGATTTCCAAGGGTTCCTGTTCCTGAAAGCCTGCACTCAGCCCTCCTCCTCCTGTCCCTGTGTTCCCGCCCTGTCTGTCCTGGCTGACCCGAGACAAAGGCCCACCCTCCTGTGTGCCATCCTGTCGAGGGGGCAGCAGCCGTGCCCCTTCCTGAGCCACCTCTTTGCCCTCTGGGAGCCCAGCAAGCTCCCCAAATGGTGAGACACACCGACAGCCGTCGCTAGGAGGCCCCTCGAGGAAGACTGGTCGCTCTGGGAGGAAAGCCACCCTGCGCACAAGTGGGGCTAACGAGGCTGGAGAGGGGTCGGCTGGTGCCAGGTTGCAGCGGCCTCAGCCACCCAGCCAGGGAGCCTCCCCAGGGTCCTGTGGGTCCGGGGGAGCTAGTGAATTTCTCTTTCTTTTAAACAACTTTACTGAGATACCATTTACACATATAAGAGCCACCTATCTTAAAAGTACAATTCTGTGATCTTTAGTAAATTTACAGTTGTGCAGCCATGGCGACTTCCCCGTAATAGGACATATCTGTCATCCCAGGAGACCCCCAGACCCCCATTTACATTGCGACCTTCCCACGCCCAGCCCTAGGCAGCCACAAGTCCACTTCCTGCTCTGTTACTGAAGGGTATGGAGCGGGGGAGGGGGATGGCCAGAGCAGGGCTTTGGCAGGGAATCTGGAAGGGTCTGTGTGGCTGGGAGACCTGTTAGGAGGCTGGCCATCCTTCCTTCCTCCTCCGCCGAGCATGGCCCGGGGCCAAGCTCTGTACCAGAGGCTGGGGGTGGAGTGAAGGAAACCTACCTGTCCTCCTGGTCCAGGTGAGACTCCAGGCTGGCCAGGGGCCATGAGATGGGGCAGAAGGGAGCAGTGTGGGGCTCCCTCTTCACCCTGGCATCTTCCCTCTCTAGGTAGACAACACTCACGACAAGAAGACCCCCGTGACGCAGCCTCAGAGCCGGAGTTGCACAGAGCTGCATAAACACCTAACCTCGAAAGCCCACTCCCCGGACAGGGGCCTGCAGCTGCCAGCCCCCTGGAGTCCCCGGCCTCCTGCCAGGGAGGACGAGGAGCCGGGTGAGGACTGCCCAAGCCCCCAGCCAGCTCCAGCCTCTCCCCGGGACTGCCCAGTGCCCTCGAGGGCAAGCCCTGGTGCCCGGGTCCCCCAGGAGGACATGCAGGCCATGGTGCAGCTCATCCGCTACATGCACACCTACTGCCTCCCCCAGAGGAAGCTGCCAGCCTCCCAGCCCTGCGGCAGCCCCTCCACACGAGTCAGGCCCCGGCCCCAGCACCCCTCCAAAGCCTCCTGGGCTGAGTTCTCCATTTTGAGGGAACTTCTAGCTCGAGATGTTCTCTGCGATGTCAGCAAACCCTACCGCCTGGCCACGCCTGTCTACGCCTCCCTCACCCCACAGTCCAAGCCCAGGCCCCCCAGAGACGACCAGGCCTCCCCTGGCCACCCACCCCCGGTGGAGGAGGTAAGGATCACAGCTTCGCCCAAGAACACCGGGCCCAGACCGAGCCTGCGCCCACTGCGGCTGGAGGTGAAGGGGGACGTCCGCCGGCCTGCCAGGCCGCAGCAGCAGGAGGAGGAAGAAGATGCAGAGGAGGAGGAAGAGGAAGAAGAAAAAGAGGAGGAGGAGGAGGAGTGGGGCAGGAAAAGGCCGGGCCGAGGCCTGCTGCGGACCAAGCCGGGGAGGAAGCTGGGGAGCTCTGTGTGCCCCGTGCGGCGGTCAAGGAGACTGAACCCCGAGCTGGGCCCCTGGCTGATGTTCCCTGAAGAGTCCCTAGTCCCCTCGGAGCCCCAAGGTGCTCTGCCCTCGCTGTGCCTGGCCCCCAAGGCCTACGACATTGAGGGGGAGCTGGGCAGCGCCACGGACGAGGACACTGGCCAAGACCAGCAGCTTCTACCGGGACCCCAGATTCCCGCCCTGGAGAGCCCCTGTGAGAGCGGGTGCGGGGACACGGATGAGGACCCCAGCTGCCCGAGGCTCCCTCCCGGAGGTAGTCAGAGTCGGTGGTGTGCGAGTCGGGGGCAGGGACGGGTGTGGCGTGCCCTCTGCACTGGCGCCGGGGCCCCACATGTGTGTCCTGCCCCGCGTGTCTGCGAGGTCGGGCGAGCCCCTTCTGCTCTGGGGCTGCAGCTTCTCTTGGGGCTAATTAGGGCAGATCTTCAGGAGAACAGCCACCCATCTCTGAGTTTCCCATCACGCACGGGCGGGATGCCACTTAACGAACGAGGAGCAAGATGCCTTCGAGGGGCTTATGTTTCAGAGGGAGGGGGGGACGGTCAAAAAGCAAACAAAAAAGGAAGAGAATTAGAAATCGTGAGCGGTGCTATAACGTAGACTTGCCGAGGATGATGTGACGGAGGTGTGTCTATAAATTCAGCTGTAGGTAATAGTGGCGATGTGATGTGCACTGCCTGTGCCCGGCCCTGGTCTCGGATATGACACAGGTTATGCTCGTTGGCTCCCGACGAGAAGCCTGTGTGTTGGGCACGGGTTCTTGTCTCCGGTGAATGACACAGACCGAGGCACAGTCTGTTGAGTGATCAGTCCTGCACCCGCCTCTGTCCAGAGCCCCAAGCTGTGGGACTTGGGAGTCAGAGCTCTTCCCTGTGCTACCCTGTTTGGCCAGGAGGTGTCACCCTTGTGCCCATCTGTTCTTCCCGCAAAAATCAAGTAGCCGCTGGGCTGAGAGCCTGGGGTGGAAGGTGGGTTTGAGTTGTTCCTGCCCGTCCCTAAAAATGCAGAGGCATTTGGGTCACCTGCCCAAAGGGCAGCTGTGCTCGGCAGCAGTGGAAGTTTGGGGTCTCCTCCAGAGGGGAAACATCTGCTCTTGATGCCATGTCGGAGAAATTTATTTTTATGTTTTTGTCTTCTTTTCAGACTCTCCCAGGTGCCTCATGCTGACCTTGTCACAAAGGTATATTTTTAGGAATTATTGGCGTAGTATTCCATGCGAGTTTGTCTTGTTGGGTGTGTGTGTTGGGGGTGGGAAGGGTTCCATCAGTCGCTGAACCTGGCCCTGGCCCCAGGCCCTTGCCCTCATTGTCATCTGGGGCCCTCAGGAGCTGCGCTCCTTTGGAAGGGGTTGGTTTTTAGAAGCTGACTTATGCGGGCCCAGCAGAAAGACTGGGTATCAGGCGTCAGGCCATTTCATAAGCTGTCCTCTTTGGGACCCTAAAAAGAGTTCTTTTGTCCCTGGGAAAAAGCTGACAGTGCCGTGTGACTTCTGGCAAGTTCCTTCTTCCCTCTGGGCCTCAGTTGTTCCACCTGTAAAACGAGGAGGCTGACAACACTTGTCCTCTGTCCACACTTCAGCAAACCTTGCCTGCATTTCCTAAAAGAATTGTGCAGCTTTGCCGGGCGTGGTGGCTCACGCCTGTAATCCTAGCACTTTGGGAGGCTGAGGCGGGCGGATTGCTCAAGGTCAGGAGTTCGAAACCAGCCTGAGCGAGACCCCGTCTCTACCAAAAATAGAAATAAATTAATTGACCAACTAAAAATATATATACAAAAAATTAGCCGGGCATGGTGGCGCATGCCTGTAGTCCCAGCTACTCAGGAGGCTGAGGCAGTAGGATCGCTGAGCCCCGGAGATTGAGGTTGCTGTGAGCCAGGCTAATGCCACGGCACTCACTCTAGCCTGGGCAACAAAGTGAGACTCTGTCTCAAAAAAAAAAAAAAAAAAAAGAATTGTGCAGCTTGAATTCCTTCAACAGCCGGGGTGGGGGTCCCCCCAACAGACCTCCCCAGGCTCCGTTTCCATGGGCAGCAGGAGCAGGGGCCATCCCTGTGTCCCTTACCCGCCTTGCATGCTGGGGGAAGTGGAAGCTGCTGCCGACCTGCCTCTCTCCTTTCTGTCTTCCCTGCCCCCATCAGCGACCCTCCTTTTGGCAAGAAGAGCTTTGAGCAGACCTTGACAGTGGAGCTCTGCGGCACGGCAGGTGAGCCGGGGGTTTGCTGGTGGGGTGCCTTTGAGGGAGCTGGAGAGCCCCCTGGCATGAATCGCCCACACTGAAGAGCCCCTCAGGCAGTGAGGGGTGCCCAGAGAGCCCTCCCCGCCACTGCCCACAGGCTGCGCTGGGTGTTGAGAGACTCAAGGAGGGGTTAGCCATTCAGCTGCCCGTAATCGGCACATAAGGTAGTATCAGGGTCAAAAAAGAAAGAGACACAAATCTTCCCCAGAGGAGCCCGCAGTCTCTTGGGAGAGACAGGGACCTGCACCATGGCGAGCACTGATGTGACTAATTTCAAAGTGTGTACAGGAGCTCTGGGTTGCAGAAGAAGACAGGGCTGGGTAGGAATGTGGCCTGGGAAGACTGCAGGGCGCCCAGAGCAGGGGACATGTGAAACCTCATGTGGGGACATGAGGGTTTGATGATCAGACATCGGAAAGACCAAGAAGGGGAAGGTATGGCCAGCAGCAGGATCAGGCCAAGCAAAGCCCCTGGTGCATCAGAGACGCTAATCACCTGGGCTTGCTGTGTGGTAGAAGGGAGGTGGCAGGAAAGAGCAGTGACAAATGGGCCAAAAGGCAGAGGGGTTTGCTTCAGGAGCCCCAGGGAGGAAGAGAAGGGCATTGTGGCAATTTGGGGAGAATGAGGACCAAGGTCAGCTGCAGGAGCACTGTAGGGCGCTGTCAGATCCCAGTGGGCAGTTCAGTCTTTGGCACCTGCCTGGCTGTGTGCAGGGAGACCTCGGAGGCATTTAGGAGGAGTAGTCGGATGGCTGGATGTGCAGCAGGAAGAGTATCTCAGATAACTTGGAGGCTCCAGCTGCCATTACCAGGTCACAAAAGCGATGGCAAATGGATGTCATCACATGCCAACGCCAGAGGACTGAAGGATTCCCAGGCCACCTCCAGGCTCAGCCAGCAGGGCAGCGATCAGTTAGTGACGCCTGCAATCCCAGAGTAGTGTTCAGTGTCCCTTGGAGAAGCAATGTGTCTCGACCTCACCTTTCTCTTCTTGCTTGGGCAGGCCTCACTCCACCCACCACACCCCCGTACAAGCCCACCGAGGAGGACCCCTTCAAGCCAGACATCAAGCACGGCTTGGGCCACGACACAGCTCCCAGCCTCCCCTCTCCTGAGGGCCTCCAGCTCGGGGCCACCTCGGGGCCTGCCCACAAGCTGCCAAAGAAGCACCCAGAGCGGAGTCAGCTCCTGTCCCACCTGCGGCATGCCACCGCCCAGCCGCCGGCCTCCCAGGCTGGCCAGAAGCGCCCCTTCTCCTGTTCCTTTGGAGACCATGACTACTGCCAGGTGCTCAGGCCAGAGGGTGCCCTGCAGAGGAAGGTGCTGAGGTCCTGGGAGCCATCTGGGGTCCACCTTGAGGACTGGGCCCAGCAGGGTGCCCCTCGGGCTGAGGCACAGGCCCCCAGCAGGGAGGAAGACAGGAGCTGTGATGCTGGCGTCCCACCCAAGGACAGTATGCTGCTGAGAGACCACGAGATCCGCGCCAGCCTCACCAAGCACTTTGGGCTGCTGGAGACCGCCCTGGAGGATGAAGACCTGGCCTCGTGTAAGAGCCCTGAATATGACACCGTCTTTGAGGACAGCAGCAGCAGCAGTGGTGAGAGCAGCTTCCTCCTGGAGGAGGAAGAGGAGGAGGAGGACCATGAAGAAGAGGACTCAGGGGTCAGCCCCCCTCGCTCCGACCACTGCCCCTACCAGAGCCCACCGAGCAAGGCCGGTCGGCCACTCTGTTCCCGCAGCCGTTCGAGCTCTGGCTCCTCATCCTGCCGCTCCTGGTCACCAGCCACCCGAAGGAACTTCAGGTATGGACGGGTGGCCGCAGGGGCCGTGGGCAGCTGAGGACCCCAGGTTCCAGGGCGTGAGCGGGGAGAGGAGACCCGGGAAACTTGCTTGGAAACTGAGGCTACATCTCCCTCTGGGGCCTGTGTCCTGGTCGGAGGCCCTGAAGGTGGTCTCCTTGGGGGAGCTGTGGGCGAGTCTGCAGGCAAGCAAAGCCTGGTCTGTGAAATTGGAGTGTCCCAAATCTCCAAATCTCCTGGCCTCGGGAGAACAAGCTCTCCTGGCCGATTGTGGGATTATGTCTAAATGAACTTGTCCCTTATGCATCTGCTTTTTTATTTAAAATGGATAGGTTTTTGTGCAAACGTGTACATGCCCAGTTGAAAACCTATGTGTTTACATGTAAGAGAAAGATTAGCCCTAATCTGTGTTCTGAAAAAGTCCCTGGATTCAAAGCAGCGATTATTCCCATCTCTGGGTCCCACTGAATTGTGCTGTGGCTTTACCTCTGTGTGGAATGACGGGTCAGGGTCCTGCTCGCCCAAACCATCTGTGCTCACTGAGCCAGACTGGAGAAGGCACCAGTCCAAACTCAGCCAGGGAGCTGGGCAGAAAGAACAGAAAGAACCAAAGCTGCGGTGGGGGGAGATGGTGCCTGTCTCTGATCACAGCAGGACGGCAGGTCCTGGTCCTGCCTGGGCAGGCTGGTTTCCAGCCCTGTGCCCGAGGAGGGCCTGAGTGGCCACTAGGTGCTGCTCTTGGTTACAGAGCTGAGCCCATTGTCAAGTGCAGGGCTTAAGCCGGGCTTGCTGGGCCCACTTGGGCATCTGATGTGTCGGGTGGGGGTGGAGGTGGAGAACTGGCATTCCTGACACCGCCAGGTGGTACTCTGGTGTTGCCAGAGTACCTACTCTGAGACCAGGATTCAGGTCAGATGAAGTTACCTTTTCTTTTTTTTCTTTTTTTTTTGAGACAGAGTCTCGCTTTGTTGCCCAGGCTAGAGTGAGTGCCATGGCATCAGCCTAGCTCACATCAACCTCAAACTCCTGGGCTCAAGCAATCCTACTGCCTCAGCCTCCCGAGTAGCTGGGACTACAGGCATGTGCCACCATGCCCGGCTAATTTTTTTCTGTATATATTAGTTGGCCAATTAATTTCTTTCTATTTATAGTAGAGATGGGGTCTCGCTCTTGCTCAGGTTGGTTTCGAACTCCTGAACTCAAACGATCTGCCCGGCCCGGCCTCCCAGAGAGCTAGGATTACAGGCATGAGCCACCGTGCCCGCTGAAGTTACCTTTTCTTAGAGTACTTCAGCTTCGTATTTATACACCGATGGCTCTTAATTGTTTGCAAAGCTGATTAAAACAAAGGCCCCTCTCTCTGATAAAATGTACATGAGCATCTAACTAGGCATTCAGTTTTAGGGGGTTTGTGAACTCCCCACAAACTAATGTTAAGAAGCCCTAAATTTTCTATTCCCCATGAGTTTCCCAGCAATTTCTCCTACAAACCCTTCTGTATAATAAGCCAGGAGCCATCAGTCGGAGCTGGCATCTCGGGCCTCGCTGAGCCTCTCTTTCTGGCTCCCTGCTTTCCACAGGAGGAGCACAAGCCTTACGGTCCTCCCAGGTCAAGAGGCTGGCTTCAGCCTTGCTTTGCTGTGAGCTAAACCGCTCAGTCTCCACACTGGCCGTCTCCAAGGCTCTCTTCATGTTGAAACACATCCATGGGGCCAAAGCTGGAGCTTCCCTGCCTCCTCCTGTCCTGCCCAGCTCAGGGGTGTTCGGGCAGGGCTTGTATTCCTGCCCTTGCCGGGGGACCGTTAACAACCTCTCTAGAAACCCACATGGATTCTCCTTTTCCTCTTCTCACCTCCGGGCCAGGTTCAAGGCTGGCTTTTTTCTGCTCACTGGAAAAAGTTAATTGGTTAACTGGATTCTTGCCGAGTTTGGTACCTGGTAAGCCTGGTAAAACTAGGAACCATCCTTTCTCCAGACTGGTGCTTCCACTACCAAACATCCATGCACAGGAAGCACTTTGAGCCAGTTTAACAACACAGACCCTAAACCCCATAGTGCCTTCCAGCCAGCTCAGCTCTTCAGGTGGGCACGGCCTACCCATGCTGTTGCAAAGGGATGAGAATACTATACTTATATAGCACTTTAAAGTTTGCAAGCCACACCCCCTCCTGTTACCCTGTTTGAGCTTCACAGATGGACTTGGAAGGTACATCTGCTTCTTATCCCCATTTTATAGATGTGGAAGCTGAGGCTCAGAGAGGTTAAATAGGAAAATAGAGCAAACGTTTATCAAGCAGTTCCTAGGCTAAGGGTTTACATGCATTTTTAAAAATCTAATCCTTGCAAATGGCCAAGGAGGTGGACACAGTTGGTTATTCCTGTTTTGCAGAAGAAGAACTGAAGCTGAGAGGGCTTCTGTACCTGGCCCAAGGTCACCCAGCAGGGAGGTGGTAGAGCGGGGTCTGCACGCAGGCTGTCTGACTCATGGGCCCGCGTCCTTTTCCTCCGGGCCGTATTTCTCAAGGACTCAGACCAGAGGAGCAAGGGCAGCGTGCAGACGGGCGAGGAAGGCTGCAGGCGCGTTGCACCCAGGGGCCTGCGTGGGCTCTGCGGACTAGTTAGTGGGGGCTGTTGCTTGGCCGAGGCACAAAGCTGTAGAGAGAGCAGCAGTTCTAGAATCAGAAGACCTGCTTCTAGCTCTGACTTTCCCAGCCTTCTAACTGTGGGCCAGTCCCATCTCAAACCCGAGCCTCAGAGTTTTTGTCTGGAAAATTGGGAGACATAAGGCCTGCTAGGGTTTTTTTCAGCAGGTCAAATAAGGTAATGAAGCGAAAGGGCTGTCCTGCCCCTGTCGGGCAGGGCATAGGCGAGGCTCAGCAGGGTGGGTTATAATTAGCAGCACAGTGGTTCCCGGCGAGGTAGCCCCCGAAGCTGGCAGAAGGCAGGCGTGCAAGTGTTCAGACCCACACTCAGCGCCGCGCCACCCTTGCTGAAGGGAAGCTGGGTTTCCGCAGGAGGGGGTTTGGACGCGTGCGCGCTCTGGCCTGAGCCCCAAAGCAGCACCCTTGCCTCCTGGAGCACGCCCCCCGGCCCCGTGGTCCTCCCGAGAGTGAGTGCCTCTGCTTTGCTTGTTCACTGACAGATGTGAGAGCAGAGGGCCGTGTTCAGACAGAACGCCAAGCGTCCGGCATGCCAGGAAGCGGCGGGAAAAGGCCATTGTAAGTGACCTGGGGCCCCGGAGCGAGCGGGGACAAGGAGGAAGGGTGGGGGCTTCGTGGACCCAGAGCCCTTTGAGGCTGGCTGGTGAGCCCCTCAGCCTTCAGCCCCTGCCTGGGGAAGAAGAGACTGTGGCCTGCAGAAGGCAGTTTTATTGCTGTCATTTGAAACGCACAAGGGTCCCCAAAGGGCATCAAAGGTGGCAGCAGGTGAAGTCCAGCCAAGAGACTGGCCATGAGGCCTGCAGTTGGGGATGATTTAAGGCTCAGCAGCACCTGGGACCTTGAGAGAGCCAAGAGGGCAGGTTGTGGGGGGCGGGGAGTGTCAGGCTGACAGGTCATCAGCCAGCCCTGCCACCACCTTCTGTGTGACCTTGGGCGGGTCCCCCAGCTTCCCTGAGCCTCGCTTTACTCATCTGTACATAAGAGATTTGGGCCTGTGATTCGCATGGGTTCTACCAACCCAATCAGGGCTAAGGGACCAAGAGAGCCTGTCCCTTCCTCCCCGTGGACCTCCCTGATCCTCTCCAAGACTCAGTCCACAGGCCCTGCCTGGGCTTGTGGGTTTGTCTGGTGAGCCTACTGCAAAGCTCCCCACGGAGAAAATACTTCAGGAGCCTGCAGCGGGGAGCTGGAGCCAGCCGGCTATGTCATGGTACCGGAAAGGAGGGAGAGGAGCTCAGAAAGACAAGCAGACTCCCGCTGGGTTTTCCCCCATGACGTGGCGCTTTGAGGAGCGGGGTGCACAGGACGTGTGCTACCCCGGAGGTGCGCAGCTGTCTGCAAGCAGGTACTTAGCACAGGCTGCGCACGGAGCGCCTTCTTGGAGTCCACGTGTGATCGTTCAGCATTTTACGGGCCCAGCCCTGTCCCAGGCTTTAGATGACCGCAGTGAGCAAGACAGATGAGGTCCCCACTCTTGTGGTTGGGCAGAAGGGAGGGAAAGACAGTAGACCCATAAACAATGTAATTACAGAGCAGGATGAGCACCGTGAAATGAATAATGTCATGACCGAGATATCTGAAATAAACAGCCGTGTTAGGACGGCTGGGGAGCTTGTGCTTATGTGGGTGGTCAGGGAAGGGCATCTCCAAGGAGCTGGGACCTGAGGGATGAAAAGGAGCAACCCGGCAAAGCCTTTGGGGTGGTGGGGAACAGCAACATGACTTCAAGAAGCTACAAGGAGGCTGGGAGGAGGGGATTTCTCTACTCTGCCGAACCTAGACGTGTTATGGCGTGGGATGAACGGTTCTCGTGACCTTGCTTGTGGACCTCGGGCCTGGGGTTTCTTCCTTGCCGCCTATGGTGTGTGGGTGGGATGGCTGGAGAATCACTGGCTCTTCCCAAAAAAAGCCTGTCTGAACCAGAAACTGTCGGTTTTGCCCATGGGAGCACGGGTTTCCAGGGACAAGGCTGGACTTCCCTAGCAAGTCACAGTGACTCTTCCAACAGCAGTGGCTTCCACTCGGTCACATCACAGATCTGAGAGGAGAGGAGGGAACGTTCTAGCCTGGGCTTTCCCCCGTCCCCACCCTCTGCCGGCCTGTTGCCGGCGTCTGCTGGCTCAGCATCAGGCTCTCCCAGAGGCACCTTCTTGGTCACAGCGTCTACACTGAGGCTTCCGCCGCTTTGCCCATGGAAAACCAGAGATACTGGTGGCTCCAATAGCCCTGATGCCCCCATCTCGTCCCCTCTCCTTGCAACCCTCGCTGACTCCCGGTGCCCCATCACCATCCTTTGCAACTTGTGGTTCCACTCCAGCTCCTCCCCTCCTCAGACTTAGAACAGTCCGGAAGCTGCCGAGCGTGCAGTTACATTAACGGTGATAAGCCCCTGTCCCTCTCAGCCCAGCTCTGCTCATTTCCTCCCCGTAAGCAGCTGCTTCCTGTGGGGCCACGTGACCACCCAACACTCTCAGGCCCACTCCTCCAACAAGGGCGGGTCCTCTGGCGTAGAGATTGTCGCCGTCCTCTCTTTGAGTCCAGCTGGTGTCGCTTGCTCAGGCATCATGAACTGGGGGGAAGCTCCGCGGGCGCCCACCACCAGGGGCCCAGGGAGCCAGGCGATGACTGGTTCTCCCTCTCTGTCCTCCTCCTCCTCCTCCTCCAGGGCGAAGGCCGCGTGGTGTACGTTCGAAATCTCTCCAGCGACATGAGCTCCCGAGAGCTGAAGAGGCGCTTCGAAGTGTTTGGCGAGGTCGTAGAGTGCCAGGTGCTGACGAGGAGTAAGAGGTGAGTCCAGTCAAGCCGTGGCAGGTGCGGGGAGGGTCCCCGATCCAGGGCTGGGCACACAAAAGATGCCCAGGACGATTTGTGAAATGAATTTGATGGGATCCACAGCCTAGACCTGGAAAACTCGGCCCAGAAGAAGGACCGAGGGCGGCCGTGCAGCCAGCGACAGCCACAAGTGCTGACAGTTTCCTAAGTGCCAGGCAGTCTCCGCGCACAAGAGCGCCTGTGAAGTGGGCGCTCTTACTCTTTCCATTGCTCTCCTTTCTCGGGGCGCTCAAACAAGTTAACTGAGCAGCTAGTTTGTGGCAGAGCAGGTGCTGGAACCGGCCTTTGCCCTGGAGACAGTGCAGGCCAGCACGCAGCTGCTGGCAGCTAGAGGACGCGCTCGCACTGGGGCCCGGTGGCACCGCAGGCTACGTGCCACCATCACACCCCTCCCTTCCTCTGTAGCAGCAAGCCCCCAGCCTTCTGTTTTGCCAACAGCCCTAGTTTTTCCTCACTCACTGGGGAAGGCAGCGTTTCATCTGCCAGGGGATCTGCAAAAAGAACAGGTTGCCTGTGAGTGCGCAATGTGGGTGTCAAAACTTTGTCACTTTTGAGATATTTCTAAATTAACTCCCATTATATCTGCAAACTAAGTTACTAGGGTTTTTAAATTCTAATTCAGCAATAATAATAATAAAAAGCTTCAGCAAGAAAATAGTTTATGTATAAGAGTTAGTACATATTTCTTACCTATTAGAAAGGCTACTATCAAAAAAAAAAAACAGGCCGGGCGCGGTGGCTCACGCCTGTAATCCTAGCTCTCTGGGAGGCCGAGGCGGGCGGATTGCTCGAGGTCAGGAGTTCGAAACCAGCCTGAGCAAGATCGAGACCCCGTCTCTACTAGAAATAGAAAGAAATTAATTGGCCAACTAATATTTATAGAAAAAATTAGCCAGGCATGGTGGCGCATGCCTGTAGTCCCAGCTACTTGGGAGGCTGAGGCAGAAGGATTGCTTGAGCCCAGGAGTCTGAGGTTGCTGTGAGCTAGGCTGACGCCACGGCACTCACTCTAGCCTAGGCAACAAAAAACGAGACTCTGTCTCAAAAAAAAAAAAAAAAACAGAAAATAAGTGGTCACAAGGATGTGGAGAAATTGGAACCTTTGTGTATAGTGTTGATGGGAATGTAAAATAATGCAGCTGATATGGAAAGCAATATGGTAGTTCCTCAAAAGAATCATAGAACTACAATATGATCCAGCAATTCTACTTACGGGTATATATCCACAGAATCTTTCTTTCTTTTTTTTTTTTTTTTTTTTTTTTTTAGTCATGGTCTCTCTCTGTCACTGTCACTGAGGCTAGAATATAGTAGCTCACTGCAACCTCAAACTCCTGGGCTCAAGTGATCCTCCTGCCTCAGCCGTGTGAGTAGCTGGGACTACAGGTGTGTACCACCACGCCTGGCTAATTTTTCTATTTCTTGTAGAGACAGGGTCTCGCTCTTGCTCAGGTTGGTCTCGAACTCTTGGCCTCTCAGAGTGCTAGGATAATAGGCGTGGAGCCACCACACCCAGCCTTGAAAACAGAATCTTAAAGTGATATTTGTTTACCTGTGTTCGTAGCAGTCTTATTCATAATAGCCAAGAGGTGGAAACAACCCATATGTCTATCAACAGATGAATAGATAATCAAAATGCACATAAAGTAGAATATTATGAAGCCTTAAAAAGGAAGTTCCAGCACATGCTACCACATCAATGAAACTTGAGGACATGCTAAGTGAAATCAGGTAGTCACAAAAAGACAAATACTGTACGATTCCTCTTATGTGATATATCTAAAATAGTCAAATTCAGTCTGGGCATGATGGCTCGTGCCTGTAATTCCAGCACTTTGGGATATTGAGGCCAGGAGTTTGAGACCAGCCTAGGCAACATGGTGAGACCCCAGCTCTGCAAAAAAAAAAAAATGTCATGGTAGCGCACACCTCTAGCCCTAACTACTTAGGTGGTTGAGGTGGGAGGATCACCTGAGCCCAGGAGTTCAAGGTTGCAGTGAGCCATGATTGCACCACTGCACTCCAGCCTGGACAACAGAATGAGACCCTGTCTCTGGAAAAATTAGGTAAATAAATAGATAGATAAATAAGTCAAATTTATAGAAATAGAGAGTAGAGTTTTGGACATACTACCAATTTTAGACGTTTAAAGAGGCAGAAGGGGCCAGGCATGGTGGCTCACACCTCTAATCCTAGCACTCTGGGTGGCTGAGGCAGGAGGATTGCTTGAGGTCAGAAGTTCAAGACTAGCCTGAATGAGAATGAGACCCCATCTCTAAAAAAATAGAGAAAAATTAGCTGGGCATGGTACATGCCTAAAGTCCCAGCTACTCAGAAGACTGAGGCAAGAGGATCACTTGAGCCCAGGATTTTGAGGTTGCAATGAGCTATGATGATGCCACTGCACTCCTAGGGTGACAGAGCAAGACTCTGTCTCAAAAAAAAGGCAGAAGGGTTCCAACTTTGTCCTGGTTCAGAGAGATGTTAGGAAATATGAGTCACTTAAATGTTTATTAGGCACCTACTGTTTGTAAGCCTGTCCTGATCAGTAGGGAAATGCCACTTTGTCTCTGCCCTTGATCATTCAGGATTCTTTTTCTTGTTTGTAACAGTGAAAAGTCGAGGTGGAACTGACTTCAGGTCCTTCTTAGGCAGACTTTCCTCCTGGTTGCAAAGTGGCTGCCTCTAGCTCCAAGCTTACCTCCCACCAGCTTAGAGACCAACCCCGGGGGAAGCAGGAGTCACCTGCATGGCTCCAGCAAAGACCTGGGATGGATTCTTTGGGGTTCAGCTCTGGGTGACAGGCTCATCCTTGAATGGGGACAGCCATCGTCATGTGACTTACCCTGGCATCCTGAGGCTGGTTGAGGAAGGGGAGTGGATGCTGAGCAGGCAGACAGGATGGATGTCTACCCTCAAGGATGACACCAGCTGTGTCAGGGGAGGTGGCAGCCAAGTTAGTAGCCAAGGAAGTGACGGCTGAGCCCAGCTTTGAAGGATGCAGAGAGTGGTATAGTTGGGGGGTAGGTGTGGCAAATCCAGGAAAATGGGAATAATGGGGGAAGCAGAGGTTTTTAAGGGCACTGATTTTAATGTTCGCATCCCTGCTGTACCACTGCCTCCTGGTAAATTACTGGACTCCACGGAGCCTGCTTCCTCATCCATGGGGTGGGGATAACAGCAGTACCCACCCACGGGGTCTTCTAAGAAGCATGTGAGACCACCTGTGGCGGCCGACAGCCGGCACACAGTCAACAAATCAGCTGCCCTTACTACGATCACATTGCGGAGGTCAGCCTAGCGATCATATCCTCAGCGTCTCTATTTAGCCGGCCAAGTGACGTGGGCACGGAATCCTCGTGGCGTTCTGCTCTGCATCTGGTAACGGGTGGTCTGGCTGTGCCCACCAAGCCGGCCCAGTAACTCGCTCTCCTTGTCCTGTCCCCCAGAGGCGAGAGGTACGGCTTCATCACCTACCGGTGTTCCGAGCACGCGGCCCTGTCCCTGAGGAACGGCGCTGCCCTGAGGAAGCGCAGCGAGCCCGCCTTCCAGCTGAGCTGCGGGGGGCTCCGGCACTTCTGCTGGCCCAGATACACTGACTACGGTAAGTCCCCAAGGCCCAGCCACCATCGAGTGAGACCCAAGACTCGAGGGGCAGTGACTCCTCGAATGAAACCCTGCCCTAAAGCCCCTCTGGACACAGTTCCCAAACCCAAGCCCCATGTGCTGACTGGGGTAACTCAGCAGCTCCTTGCCCTGGAGGCTGCCGTCTTGTTTGTCTTCTGGCCTCTGGTGCTTTTTGTCCTGTCCTATGACTGGGACCAAAGAGAGCCGAGCCTCCCGTGGCCTCTGGGAAGGTTTGACCTTGTGTGCACAGCCAGCTGGTAGAGCCGTGGCCACTGTCTCTTTGATGTCACAGGGCCAGCTGCTGCCCTGCCCCCTTGGGGCATTCCTGGTGACCCCTGACAAGGCAGCCATCTTGTCCATTAATGGACTACAGTGAAACAATGCCGTCATCGTGACCTTGCCATCTGGGGACAAGATGGTGATGAAGGACAAAGATGTAGGAAAGCACTGTTTGTAGGAGAGTCCAGTGCAGCCTTCACTCCCAGGACAGGGCTCTGTCAGGGACGCCAGGTGGGTTCCAGGCCAGGTGGCGCGCCACCTGGCTACATATCCAGTTATAGGCCCCTGCCCCAGGTTACTGCCAAGCGAGAAGCTGTTCGGGGAAGTAGAATCACAGAGTGTCGGGGCTGGACAGGCGCTCTGGTGTGCTCTGGTTCGGGCCCCCTGCTCTACAGACAGGGCAGCCAAAGCCCCGAGATGCTGTCCACGTGGCCCAGATGTCACCACAGGACGGCCGTCGGTGGTTACAGGCCAGTGCTCGTGCCTGCCCCCCAGGCCTTGGGCCAGGGCACTCCGCAGGGTGACCCTTAGTGGCAGATCTCGAGATTGCCTGGGTTGCATGCTGCCTTCCGCTCTCACCGGCTTCTCCGCCCCCGTGCCCAGATTCCAATTCGGAAGAGGCCCTTCCTGCGTCAGGCAAGAGCAAGTACGAAGCCATGGATTTCGACAGCTTACTGAAAGAGGCCCAGCAGAGCCTGCATTGATAACAGCCTTAACCCTCGAGGAATACCTCAATACCTCAGACAAGGCCCTTCCAATATGTTTACGTTTTCAAGGAAATCAAGTATCTGAGAAGGAGAGAGAGCGAGCGAGCGTGAGAGAGAACACACGTGAGAGAGAGACTTGAAACTACTGTCCTTTTAAAAAAAAAAAAAATCAATGTTTACATTGAACAAAGCTGCTTCTGTCTGTGAGTTTCCATGGTGTTGACGTTCCACTGCCACATTAGTGTCCTCGCTTCCCACGGGTTTTCCTGTGTGCGCCTCGAAGTGCTGGTCGGCCACCCAGTGCCCCTGCCATCCCCACGGACTTCCTCTCGTAGACTCGCAGCTGTGTTCGCCATACCATTTCTTGTCTGTAGTGTGTGATGATGAAATCGTTACTTGTGAATAGAATCAGGATTATAAACTCATTTTTAATTGAAGAAAAAAAAAAGTATATCCTTAAAATAATGTATTTATGGCTCAGATGTACTGTGCCTGGGATTATTGTATTGCTTCCTTGATTTTTTTAACTATGCACTGGCATGAGGTGTTTGCCACTGAGCTGCTCTGCTCCCCTTGCCGGATTGCCCTGGTGGTGCTGGGTGGCCTGTAGGCTGGTCCCCGGGAAAGCGTGGCCTGCAGCCGTAAGGAAGAGCCATGGAGAGAGGTTTCCAGGCCATTTCTGTCAAGCCCTGCCCTGTCTCTTATTGAGCTAGTTTGGGTCAAATGACAACGCGAGCCCCCATCTTGTGCCCAGCTCACGCATAGAGCGGGTGCCCGTCTATTAGTGTGTAGACCCTCAGATACCTTGGAAGGAAGGTGGGGTGAGCTGTATTGCTCCCCTTTTCTGGGTGAGGCTGGTCATGCCCCAAGAGGCAAAATGACTGAGCAAGGTCCCATAGCCAGTGAGAAGGCAGAGCGGTGACCCAGCCCAGGCCTCCTGATTCCTGGCCCGTGCTTTTGCAGTAGCTGGGGTAAAGATGCAAAGTTTCAGGGACTGGTAGAGGTGAGTTTGGCTAAACTGGGCACCAGGCTAGTAGCCTGAGGGCTCATTTCAGGGGTTAAGTCGACAGTTGACTCACCAGCATCAGGCGAATTCAAGCTGTGGCATGCGTCTTGGTGTACCGTCAGCTTTAATCCCGGATGGTCCTGCAGTTTGCCTCTGCCTATTGGACACACCATCACAGCTGCAGTGACCTCCTGGCGATGGTACAGACAGACGGTCTGGGAGCAATCATTTTTGGGGGACCAACTCCCAAGCCATCCCACTCCCTTAAGCTAGTCCCTCGTCCTGAGCTTTTCCTCATCTGGAAAGTTGTTTTGGTGGCATGGGGCAGGGGGAGCCAGGAGAAGAACGTGAGGGTTGGGGATGGATAAGACAATCTCCTAGCTCCCTCCAACTTAGAAAACATCTAACTGGGCTTTAGTTTAAACCTTGTGTTCTTGAGTGATGTCAAAGCCATGTCCAGCTTGCTGTTCTGCAGGTGCCTTGGGGGCCATTCGTGAGGGAGAGCGTGGCCAGGCAGGGTATGAGTGCATTGCTTCTGCTTCAGACAGAGCGGTTCTTCCCGATCTCTTTCATACATCAGGGTTCCTTGGGAAATTTTTATACTTAAAAAAAACAAAAAAGTCCCATTGATTTAAAAGATTTGAAAGTGACTCATTAAACTAAACAAGTTAATTGAATTTGTTGCTAATGCCAAGCTTAGTCTTTTGAGAATTGGTAGTTGATTTTATGTTTTAAGATTATCAAATACCTCGGTAGGTAAACTGAGCCCATGATCTCGTCCTAGGTGGTGAGCATACTCCCAGCCTGTGGATAAGGCGCGGGGAGACAGGCTTTAGCGGGGATAGGGAGTTTGAGTTCCCGTGTGTCAAGTCCATTGACTTCTCTGGACCCTTTTCCATGCAAAATGGACTGAAGGGGAGAATTAGGTAAGTTCCAACAGTCTTAGCTTCTGGTAAGGCAGTGTCTGGCTCAGGTGGCAAATACACAGCACATGTGCTACTATTCCCACATCGCCAGGCCATTGCAGACATAACTAATCAATCACAGCATTTGTGTTCTTCGAGCCTGGATAAGAATCCTCAATACAGTGCTCTGGGAAGCCATTACTAATTGATCAGAGTTTAATCTCTGTGACATGCTGGTCTAATCTTTGGAAGATTTCTATCAATCACATAGAAACATATGCTGGCTGGGTTTCCTACTGGCCCATCCCTGTTTTTCATGTCCCGATCCATGAGAGAGAAAACTCTCCTAAAGCCATTCCTTGGCACAAGACTCCTAATACTACTGTGACACATAGCTCCACTTGAGTAGGGTGGGGTGGTGGTAGCGGGTAGTGGAATAGCAGACAGGAACATATTAGGGGAAGGCAGGGCTTATGAGGATGGACCAAAAATGAAACTTTGCACAGCACAGACCTGTTCATTCAGAATTCCTTTATAGCTATTCACTGCCTAGCACATAGTAGGCACACAATAAACGGTTATCGAATGGAGCCGAATTTAAATCACGAAGTCGTGATTTGCATCAAGGAGTAAACAAAGCCTTTACCCTGCAGAAGCCAGTAGGATAGAGCACTAGATGCAGAGTCTGGAGAGCTGGGAGGAGTCCTGACTTCACCAAGAATTTATTAAGTCCCTTCCCTTGCCTGGCCTCAGTGTGCTGGAGGGAGTTAGATGATATGATCTCTACACCCCTCCTATTTGCTTCTTCCTTGATTGCATTTGGCCAGAGGGTCTGCCTTGAGCTGGTTGGTGGTCTTTTAGGGTAAAGAAATAGGATTTTTAGCGAAGGATGAGTCTCTCCCCCCACCCTTTGGGGTCAGTTGAAGCTGCCCTTTCACATCAGATTAATCCAGGGCACTTGAAGTTACTTAGGTGTTGGCACTTGAAGTTACTTAGGTGTTGGCCCTTGAGCAGAGCAGAGATATGAATGTGGCATTGGGTCGTGACATGCCTAATGTTAGGGCTGGTGGCCACGGATGAGGGATGCTGCCTGCCAAGGACACCTAGTAGTCTCTGCTCGCCATACATAAAAGGCTACAAATTCTCAAATTGCCCAACCCTGCAGAAAACCTCTATCTGGAAGGACTCATTCGGTGCTGTGATTATTTACCAAGGAAACTCCAAGGTCTCTCCAGCAAAACTAGTCAACCTTTGTCTCTTTCCCACCAAATTAAGGAGTGACCCAGAGGGAGCAGCTGCCATTGGCAACCATCTCGTTGTAGCTCTGTCCTAGTGTTTGCTCTCGATGATGTTTACATGTGATCACCGTAAAAGCTTACCATAGCCTGTGTCAATAGCCGCCCTCGCAGGGCGGGTCATGCTGTCCATCTCTGCGCCGTGCTGGTGTTTTCCAAAAATGTCTGATCCAAACACTAAGTGGAATTCTTCCATCTCCTTCCTCAGTCTGTACAAGGCTGAATCAGAATCCTCACTCTCGGGGGCTCTGGTTACCGAAGGAAAATGCATCAAAGAGGTAAAAAATGAGTGGATGGAGTGCAGCTAAGACCCCCACCCTCTTGCCCCCTCACACCTTGGCCCCCCAACCAGAAAATGGCTTTGAGTCAGAAAGCACTGGTCGGGCCTGCGTCTGCCTTGAGATCTCACAGCTTTGAGTGTCATATGTGCCCAGAAAAGAGGCAGGGCTTTGGGGGCCGGAGGAGGAAGGGAGGAATGCTCTGAGCTGTAAAGACTCGGTCCTCAAGTCCTAACATGGGAAGAGATGCAATAAGACATCTTTCATCGCCTAAAACCTGTGCTTGTTAGTTTTTCTAGAGTTATTTCTCCTAGATATGTGCAATATGCCTGCCAGGGCCACTGAGGAGAGGCAGGGAAGGGCAGCCCAGCCCTTCTCCATGGACAGCTCAGTTCGTGGCCCATCCTAGGTTTGAGTTCAGTTGAAATCTCAGCCGAGCCTGTGGTTTGAGAGATGGGTCATCCCGACTGTGAAACAGAATAAACTTAGAGCATGTGTTGATCTGACTCACTGATGACAAAATTACAGTATTTTTCTTAGCATTTGAGATTTAGCAGCTGCCCTCAGTCTGGGGGAATTATACATCCCAGCATCAGATAGGATCAGGGAAAGAAATTGGATGTGCAATAGCAAAGAAAGTGAACCTAATGGTTTCACTGGCCAAAGAAGAGGGACCCTCACCCCTTCCCACTGGGGCAGAAGGAAACCGATTAGTACTATGTGCAATATGTTAAAGCTGGTCCCCAAGTCCCTGAAGCATTTGCACACACAGATGGGTTCCAGGGCTGCTTGCTGACTCTGGAGGTGCAGGGTAAATGGAGAGAGAGCTCGGGAGCTAGAAACTCACGTGCACAGAGATGTCTTTGTCCCAGAACAGACATGGGTGGGGAAGCCCCCGGGAGCCGGCTGCGGGACACCTAGGAGGTAGGCAGAGGCTGACTTTGATGAACTAATAAAAGTGCTTGGAGAAAACCACAACACTTAGCCTGGCTCCATGTTTCTACACTGGAAAATATGGATCTCCTTTGGCTGTGTGAAGTGCTGTCCTAGGGGTTGGGACCGGAGGCTGGGAATGGGCTGGCGTGAGGGAGGAGAGGGCAAGAGATGCCTTCCGAGACATCGGCAGCGGGAGAGCCGATGCTAGTCAGGAGCCCTAGAAACAGGGAGCCACGGGTTTGGATCTTGGTACCTACTTTCGTATTATAGAAAGACAAAAACAGCCCAGCCGAGTGAAATGTGTTCGTGGAGCAAATCATCTAACTATAAGCCATCTCAGTGTGAGAAACCCTGATGTTCCTTACTTCCTGGGTGACCTTGGGCCCGTTTTCTCATCTACCCAATGAGAATGTCGACTCTGAGCCCTGAAGTCCCTGTCACCTGGGAAGGGCCTGGATTCCCATCCTGGGGCGTGGGACTCCACCACTCCCCTGGGCAACCGAATTCATTCTCTGGCTTTGCCCAGCTCTTGTTCAGGGGAGGGTTTCTCTGCAAGAACCAACCGGCCACAGGTTCAACCCCACACGGTCCTTACTGAGTTGCCTTATACGAGGAGGCCGGCTCCCCAGGACAGATCTAAGCCATAGTTTCTGGTGGGGGTGGTGAGGAATTAATCCCCCAGGTTGGCTACTTGGCGATGTGGAATCACTCTCACATTAGCCTTGTCATTGTCCCCGCCGAACAGCTTTTAATCTGAATGTCGAGACCACTTGGCTGTTTCTCTCTGGTTCCCAGACAATACTAGCAATACACTTGTTTTTTTCCAAACAGCTTAACATAGGCACTTTTTCGCACATTTCTTTCAAATGATTGTAAAGCATATGGGGCAACAGGAGGCATCGATCACACTGCATATGTTTAGGGCAGCTTTTGTTTTTTTGTTTCTTTAATGGTATAGCAGCAGTGATTGAGGCTCCGGGGTTTGGGAGACAGACTTTCAGACATTCTCTTTCATGAGAATGCCCTGCACAGCCAGGAGTGCAAAAATCCAGCTGCCTGAATCTGGGGCTTGGAAAAGAAGGTTTTGTAGGTGGTCAGTCCTGGGCTGTGCAGCAACTCCTCCTCAAAGGGGTGTTTATATAGCTAGAACCCTCTCTTTGCCATACTTTTTGTCAAAGGATTCTCCGAGGAAGCTTTAGAAAGCTTCCTTTTTCACTGTACCAGCCTTGCTTAGGGGTTACTTGTGGAGGGGATTGGTCAGTTTCCACCTCAGCACTTTGCCTTATCAACATGTAGTCGCCATCTAGTGGCCAGAGACTGTATCCACCAGCTATCCAGATGGAAGGCAAATACATCCTTATGGCCACCTTGCTGTCTAACGCTTTGGGAATGTAATGGCATGAATGAACTGTCTGTGTGTTCAGAGCCCAGCATGACGCTAGGGTCAAAAGACTCCAGAAGCAGCCACTTTGTAGGCTCTCACGCAGACTGAGAGATGCACTAGCTCTCCTGTGGGCAGAGGAGACAGGAGTGGACCCTGTGTCCAGGTACCCAGGAGGGGTTTACTGTAACTGCAATACTGGCAGCCCGGCTGCTGCCCTTGTTAGGTGAACCTCTGCTAGGTGGCCTGCGTTATACCCTCGGGACACACGAAGAGGTTGGCTTTAAGGATTCTGGGGCCGGGGGCCTAGCCATGACCTTTGATATGGTCCACCGAATAGCCAAATAGGGTTTTTCGTTTGATTCTTTTTGGGTTTGTATTTTGTATTTTAAAATCTTGTCAAATGTTTTTGTGTTAGGAATAAAAAGTCATAAACTATTCCCAACTTTGTTTCTTGAAGGATATTCCGATTCTGATGGAAACAGGTTGGAAATCTCAAGGGGAGCGTGGTCAGGGTGGTACGTGGAACAGAGAAGTGGACCGCCTGGATTTCCAGATGGTTTCTGGGGAAGATGGCCATCCGGAAGTCCAGCTTAGCGCAGTCTGCTCTGGAAATTCACGCCCACTGCCCTCACCTCCTGTGCCATGTTGTTAGCATTGGCTTGGGGCACCTGCTTCTGCCAGAGGCAGCTGCTCATGTTGAAACCAACACAAGATCCCTCTCCCCAACCCCAGGTTTCTAGAGAAGGTGTCTGTAGCTAGCCTTAATCGACTGGGCGAGGTGGTCCCTATGGTCCCTTCCAGCATTTCCAAATCTTGGACTCAAATCCTTTTCTGTTGGTATGACCATGCAGCCTAGAGAATTCTGAGCAATAGCCGGGGCTTTCCCTGGCTCTGAGACAGGGTCAAACCAGGGAATGGCTAAACTTGTGAGGTTTTGTCATCCCCAGGGGTACTACCGTAGGGGGCATTATTTATTAGGAAGCTCAATAAGGTAACTACAGCCTGGGGTGTGTGAGTGTAAGGCTGTGTTTGTGTTGTGTGTGTGTATAGGTATGTGTGCGTGCACACACGCGTGTCTGCATGTGTGTGTGTGTGTGTATGTGGAATTACATTGATGCATTTCTTGAGAAAGGTGCAAGAATTTCACCTACACAGAGGGACACATCTGCTTTGTTATTTATAATAGAAAGCTAAATTTTAATTTTTTAAAGGACACTGCTAATGATTGAGAATCGAGTTTTTAGTTTTGCTATTTTTTTTAATTGGTAGAGGATTTTTATATATTTTTTTCCATTTTGTTGGGTTGTGTCCTTATTTATATAAATACTTTATCTGTAAGAGGCAAGGAAGAAACCTTCTTTGCTTTTAATTATTGTGGTTGTCATCGTCCCTGTTTTATTTCCGGTGTGATTTATCTGTCTTACCTTCTAAATGAGAAAATGTTTTCCTGTATTTGTACATTGTCAGATTCTATAGTTTCATAGATAATTTAACCAAATTGCTCTATGTATTATTATTCTGTGAGTATAAAGTTCTATTTTAACGTCTGTAAATACTTCAGAACTGGCTTCTTTTCTCAGACTCCCACTGCGGAGTTATTGTTTACATCACAAAAACTGTAGAATCTCTAAGCTCATGTACTGTAAATAGTGAAGTGATCTGCTTATAAATAAACTTAACAAATACACTATGGAGATTAAAAAGAAAATGCCACCCACAGCCCTGCCCAGGTGTGTCTTTCTTTATTGGTCCTGCGAGCTCACTGAGGGACGCTGGCCACTCGATGGGGAGTGGATTCCAGTTTCGGGGTCACTTTCTCAGACAAGACCCCAAGTCGAGGTGTGCCCACCCTCCCCCTTCCTCCCTCCTCCTCAAAACTCTTAGTTCACTTTTCCCTCCTTCGCAATATGTTTCAAGGTTCCTAAGAACCATTCTGACTCATTTCACATAACAGGTATCCTGTTAACAATTTTTTAACAAAGACTTCCTTGTTTTGGTAACATCAGCTTTTTCACCCAAGCACACTAAATAAATGTGCCGTAAGAGATATTTTGACATTATGGTTTCAGGCAAAGCAATCATCAATTTATAATTACAAAGCAGTTTCTGGTCTGAATTATGTGCTATATTTGGGTGAACTGGAAACATTTTCCTTTGTGTACATACTTCCAGCAAGTGGGGTGAGGAAGTGGCATCTTTCAAGACTGAGTCTTGTGCGTGTGTGTTATTTTCCTCTTGTTTCAAAGCGGTTAGCCTGTATTTTGCCCTAAAGCTGTTTTTTTGTGCTTTAAGTGCAGTTTGAGTATAAGGTACCCAAAGTGTTGAAACGTTGGTGAAGAGCATTATGTGCAAACAAGAGCAGGCACAATAAACCATTACATTTCATGTTATGGGCAAACTGTTTTCAAATTGTTGTGTATTATATATATAAACTCATGTACAGACATTCTCATTCATTGTTCAGGTGACTTATTTTCTCAGTCCGGGAAAATTGCTTGGCTGTCTTCAGTTGGAAGGGAACGCATCATGATTCTCCCCATTGACCTGATTAGGGATGTTTCCACTTGGGGCAGAGCGCTCTGGCGTGATCAGAGTCCTTAGCGAGGGTTTCTCAGTGTCTCTTGCCCCTTGTCAGGTGGTAAGACCCAGAACAGGCCTGCTTCCCCATTCACTGCAAGTGCCCGGCCCCATCAAGAAGCCACTCCTGAGTGGATCCCATCCGTGGTGCAGGGGGTGAGTGGCAGGTTCAGAGCCTCAAGGCCTGCGCTTGGGACCCAACTCTGCCACTTCTGTATTGCATGAACTTGGACAAGCCACCTCTTCGGCCCCTGACCTCCCTGAAGATGGAAGTCTAAGATGATTTGCTTAGATGAACTCAAAAGGTCCGTTATATTCTAGAAAAGCTAATTTGCAGAAGCAGTGTGGTGCAGGGGACATGGTTACGAGCTGGGGCTCTGGTGTCGGGCTGCTTAGCTTTGAAGCTTGACTCCACCACTCACCAGCTGGGTGTCCTCGGGCAGGTTTCCTAACATCTCTGATTCACTTCTGCATCATGTGATAAATGGGACTAGTAACAGTGTCTACTGGGTTGTGAGGATGAAATTGGATCAAGCACAGAACCGAGCACACAGTAAGCGCTTAAGCAGCATTAGCTGTGATCCTCATCGTGCACGGTCTCATTTGGTGCGTGCCATAGCCCTCTGAGAGAGGCGTGGCAAGGATTCCAACTGTCCTTTGACAGATTGGGAAGGCTAGGAAGCAAAACAGAAGGAGCCCGCCGAGGGGACTCAGCAGTGCAACGACAGAGCCGGGACCAGCAGCATCAATGCCTGTATGTTCCTGGGTGACACTTCTGCTCACCACCAAGCCACATAACCATCATACGTGATATGCTCAGGACATGCTTCTGCTTAAAAGGCTGATGCTCTCAGAGTGTCCCATGCAGCAGGGCGGTAATTCTAGCTGGGGAGTTAAAAGCTTCGCGTCCCAGCCCCAGCGTCCCGTGAACATCGTGACCTGCAAATGTGAGCAGGGCCTGTGTGTCCGGAACCCAGATGGATCTGCCGAGGGAGCCACAGGGATGTGTGTGCCCCCCCCCCCACGTGCACTGCGTTCTCTGGGACCCTGGCCATCTCCTGGAGGGAAGCCAGGGAACTGTGCTATGACTTTGGCCCAGCCCTGCCCCCTCACTGGCCTTCAATTTCCTCGTTTATCTAAAAAGGGACATTAGTGTAGATCAGTGGTTTATAGTTTGGGGAAATCACAGGGCTCCCTCTCCTCAAAGCAGCTGCTTTAACATATTAGCTTCTGTATAACATTCAGTTTGGGAGGAAGAAAAGTTCTAGAGCTGATGTTCCTTTATGGGAGAACAGGGCACAGAGGGATGCCTTATACGCTGCCACAAAGAAACGGATAAATCCGGAATGTGAGACAGCTATTGCTGTTTTCTGCAACAAGTCACTTGCAAAGTAAAAAAGGAAGGACCACCGCTGTAGAGTAAGAGACTTAGAAACAGCAACTAAAGGCCGGGCGCGGTGGCTCACGCCTGTAATCCTAGCACTCTGGGAGGCCGAGGTGGGTGGATTGCTCGAGGTCAGGAGTTCGAAACCAGCCTGAGCAAGAGCGAGACCCGTCTCTACTATAAATAGAAAGAAATTAATTGGCCAACTAATACATATAGAAAAAAAAAATTAGCCGGGCATGGTGGCGCATGCCTGTAGTCCAGCTACTCGGGAGGCTGAGGCAGTAGGATTGCTTGAGCCCAGGAGTTTGAGGTTGCTGTGAGCTAGGCTGATGCCACGACACTCACTCTAGCCTGGGCAACAAAGCGAGACTCTGTCTCAAAAAAAAAAAAAAGAAACAGCAACTAACTGTGTGAGGCGGTGGTGTGTTAATTAGCTTGCTTGTAGTAATCATTTCACAATGTATATGTATATCAAAACGTCATGTTGTACACCTTAAATATATACAGTTTTTATTTGTCAATTATACCTCAATAAAATTGGAGGTTGGGCTAAAAACAATAGAGAATGGGGGAAAATTGAGTTTCGGTGGGTGCAGCAGAAATTTACTGCAAACTTTTAAGCACGTTGTTGTCATTTTCAACTTTTGGTTTATTTGTGCTGTTTTCAACATCAGTTACTATGGTGTGAATACTAATCAGGCCGAGGGCACTCTGCCAGGCATTGCAGACTCACCAGAGCATACTTAGATCTGATTTTAAAGAAGTTCTGTTTTTAAACTAACAGAACATATGTTAATTGAAACAGAAGGCCTGAAGTTGAAAATAATTTGCCTTAATTTATATTCCCTGAAATCAGTGGGAATAAAAAGTATATCTTTGGCTCCCCATGGGAAAAAAGTATACCTTTTTCCTAAAAACAAATAAAAGGAAACAAATAACAACTAAATTCAATGTGTGAAACTTGTTTGAATCAGATTCAAGCAAAGCAACTATTAGAGACGTTCTTGTAACAATGAGGGAAAGTGGATTAAGGGCTGGCATCTGAAGTTGGGTTCTGCAGAAAGCAGACTCTAAAATGACTTAGTCTGCAGGATGCTTAGTGCCCTGGGACCAATGCCTGGGGAAGGGGCAAGGGAAGGAAGGAAGTAGGGGTGGGCAGAGGGAGGAATTGAACTGTGACGTGAGCCAGCAACAGACTTGGGGACCCCACAAGGAGTCCTGGAGCTAGAATAGCCCTGAGAGTTGTCCCATGTCTGGCCAAGATGGCCAGGCCTTTCCACCTGGCATGGACCAGTCACTGGCTGTAGGCTGCCCTGGGAAAGGTAAGGTGTGTCCCTGCGGCTGCAGTAATCCCTGCAGGGGCTGACACTGAAGGCTGTCTGCCAACCGCACTCACAGCTAGTGGTGCCCCGAGTCCTTTACTGAAGTGGGGGTCTGTGTCGCTCATCACAGCATCCACCACAACCGGGTGGTAGGTGTGCATCTATTGCATCTGATAATGATGTGCTTACATTAGAAAATGCCTCCAATAATATGCTGAAATAAAAACCGGCAAATGAGAAAAAAAAAAAAAAGAAAATGCCTCCAGTGCTGGGATAAGCATTAAAAAGAAAGAAAGAAAAATATGCCCTTATTTCTTTAAAGATATGCAATGGAGGAATGAAGTGATATGTATGGAATTTGCCTTTGAACGCTTCAGCTAAGAAAAAATTGAGAAAGAAACAAAAAGGACAGATGAAGTACATGTGGCAAAATCTTACCACCAGAATCTGGGTGAAAGGTATATGGGGATTCTCTACTTTTGAGAATAAAAATGCCTTATAAAGCATGAAAGTATAAGAAGAAAAATGGTCCCAAGCAAGCAGGTGAACCTGGCATTAATTAAATGTTTAACAAATGTCTATGAAAAGCTAGGATATCGGTTTTAGCTCAATGAATAGTTCTCAAGGCTAAAAGAATGTTCAAAAGCTACTAGATAAGTTGTAAGCTAAATTCTCTATCTGCTTTCAAATCCTGTAGCTCTTTTACTTCTCAGGAAGGAGGGTGGTTCTTCATTGTCTTGGGTCATCTCCTCCCATGAAAGGGTGGAGCCATCTGGCCGCACGACCCCGATCAGGCTACTGGATGCAGCAGGACTTGGAGGCAGGCGCACCCCCTGGGTTGGGGTTCCCTCCGGGCTGATTTCCTGCGCCTGCAATCAGACAGGAAAGAAAACACACCAGGTGACAGGAGGCTGCAGAGGGCTTCCCCTTTGGCCTAGTTTGGACCAACAGTTGCAAACTCAAAGGCCTTTGAGGGCCAACAGATAACCAACTGCACGTGCAGACCAGGCACAGGAGAATGGCGGCATTTCTCTCTTCCAAGGAAAAATAGCAGCACGAGGATGAGGACAAATGAGAACCTGCACTTGGCACCAATGTCTGGGAGACACAGGGAGCCTATAAGTGGTGGCCCTACATTTGCAGCAGCTCATTTAAATTTTTGTGTTTATTCATTTATTTATTTTTGCCTTTCTCCACATGTTCTAATGTTTTTTAATGTTTTGTTTTGTTTTGTTGCAGCTACCCGTTTAGAATCACCCCACAGTGCCCAGAGCAGAGCGGAGGCCCTGACAGTGTCCCTGGGTAAGAACCATGTGTGTAGACCACAGCGGTCAGGGTAGGGCAGGGGCTAGAAGCTGTGTCCCATGAGGAAACAGCACACAACCAGTAAAAGAAATGACTTGAAGGAGGAGCAGTACTGTCAGTAGGGAAGAGTTCAAACAAACAAAGTCCACCGGATTCCTGAAGGCAGAACCATGGCCACCAGTTGGGAACTTCGACAAGGAGAACAATTTGAGTTCAAGGGACACCTTTCCTAATAGTGGTACCTGAATGAGGATGCCAAGCAAGGTAGTGAGCCCTCTGTCACTGGTAGTATGCAAGCAAAAAGCTCATGATGGTATAGACAGGATTCAAACATCAGACAGAACCCTGAAAATACAGGCTCTAAAATTCCTTTCAACCACTAGTTCTAGGTTTTATCCTTTGCACCAGGGTGGGGACATATGCCCACAGTGTTAGAATGAGAGTCTGCGCTATGTTGGTTGGGGGGGCACTTGCGGGGAGGCCTGGAGCACCCCATCTTGAGAACCAGGCTCTGCCACTACTGACTGTGTGACTTGGCCACGATACTTCACCCCTCCAGCCTCAGTGCCCTCATGCACAGACGGGGACAGTAATCGGTCAGCGGGAGGCCTCCAGGAGTCCAGGCCCAGACACACAGCGGTGGGGGGCGGTCGGGATTCCCTGCCTTCCACGAACCTGGCTTGTTCGCCTGCTGTTTCTGCTTCTCCTCCTCCAGCGCCTTCACCTTGGCTTCGTAGTCGTCAGCAAGCGCCTTCCACTCCTTGCGGTTGTTGGTGATCCCGTCCAGCATGGGGGTGATCTCTGGGTGGAAGCGGGAGAATTCCTGGAAGAGAGAGAGAGTGCGCCTCTGGCACAGGGGCCGTGCCCGGTGTCTGGGCCCCAGGGGGAGGCACAGCTGGAAATGTCACTGGGATGAGCTACCTGGGCGGGTAGCAGAGGGGTAGCAGGCGGGTAGAGGCTGATGCTGCAGGGTCTCCGGTCTACATGGTGCTGTCCCTCTCCTGCTTAAAACCCTCCTGCTGCACCCCGAGTCCTTCAGGGCGAAGTGCAAACCCCTCCACGTGGTTTCGAGCCCCTCCACGACCTGGTGCCCTCCAGCCCTTCACCAGGTTGAAACCCCCAGGCTTTCCAAATCTCTCAGTTCCCAGAGCTATCCTCCCTCGTGGCCTCTTTGCTGCAACTCTCTACCCGCCCCTCTCCTTCCCGCAGCCCTGCACTTACAGGTCACTTCCTCAGGGAAGCCTCCTCGGACCCTAGGTAAACAGAGTCCCTACCGACTGGAAGCTCCCACAGCCCTCCACCACATCGTGCTCCCTTGCAGTGACTCCCCCTGCCTGTCTCCCCCAGAGGCTGAGAACCTGGAGAGGGCGGGGACATCGGCTGCCTCCTTCACTGGGCTTGTCCCGGCCTGGCCCGGGGCGGGCGCACAGATTACTCAGTAAGCATTTGCTGAGTGAGGTCGGCCTGTTGAGAAGATGATTCTTAAGGGCTGCCTGTGAGCTCAGCACATTACGGTTTATGAAGCAGTTTATCTCTTCTGATGCTCAAATTCCTGTGAGCTGGGAAAACAAGAGCCATCGCTCCTACATTTTAGGTGAGGACATTGAGATGATGCAGATTGATGGGGTAGATCTGCCCCAGGTAAGGACAGCAAGTCCAAGGCAGACTGCACAGGTCCAGCCAGAGCCGACTGTGCTCGGAGGTGCCTGGGATCGGGTCCGAGCTCTGCCACAAGCTGTGTGACTTTGGGGGCGTGGGAGGGGGGTCACTAGCAGATCTCACCTTCAGCAGTGAGATAGGACAGTAACAATGCCTCCCCCACAGGCTTGCTGTGATAACCAGCCAAGTAAAGCACTTACTTAGTTCAGTCTCCCTCATTTAGTGACATTAGTGATGAAAGTGGATGCTTTCAGCTACTCTGCCCTGTTGGCCAGGGGACCCCAGCTAGTCCGAATTATATCGGAGATGCTCTTGTCCCCCTCTGGAGCACCTGCACTTCCGGCCGCAGGGCTGCAGCACGAACAGCAGAAGGAGCACTGCACTAGGGGCCCCAGCTCTAATCCTGCCTCGTGGCTGAGTCTGGCGACAATGACCCTGTCATTGGCCTTCTCATCTCTGACTCTTGTGTTCTCATGTGAAACATGGCCAAAATAAAAATTAAAAATGAGAGGTGGGTGGTGGCACAGATGACATGAATTTGGGAGCAATGGGTATCTCAGGAGGGAGACTTTAACTTTGAACAATAGCTCAGAGAGAAATTCCAGACTGTCTGTTCACAATTACTTTGGCCTGTCACATTTCCATCAGCTGGGGAAGTTAGGAAGGCACGTGTCTGCTATGTTTCCCCTTCCCCTGCCTGACATCCTGCGTAGTCATTTGTCCCACAACTATGTGTTGAGCAACTAGGATGTTCCAAGCTCCAGGTTCCAGCCTGGGCTACAGTCACATAAGACCCATAGAGACCCCTGGTTCTCAGGACCCTGTCCTGAAAACCAAATGCCCCTGGAGACGAGAAGCGCTTTGTGAAGTATCACCCACAACCACCTGCTCGGGTTTATTATCTCTGATGTTGTTTGGGAATCCCAGGTTTATCAAAGACATTTTGTTGGGGCTGAGGAAACCAAAGGCCTACCTTGTAGACGAAGGTGCAAACAAAGTCAATGAAGCCGACCTGAAGCTTAGGGAGTTCATCCGCCTTGTTCCTGTCCATCATGGGCTGGCGTGAGGGAGAAAGAGTTAACCACACTGCATGGTAAGAGTGATCCCCTTACCTATGCAGCATTCCTGCTTAAAAAAATCAAACTGCAGACTCATCAAGTTTCCAGATCTGAAAGAGCAGTTTGCAGGAAACGTGGGGAATAGAGGAACATGCTAACTAACATCTCCCCGCCCAATCAACCAAATCCAGAATGTGGGAAGCTACACAACAAAAGACCCATTGTCTTCAATGAATAAATAGCATACAAAAAAAAAAAAAAAAGGCCAGGGGGTAGGTGGGTAGGGGGACCTACTATTTATCAAAAGAAGCTTAAGAGACATAACACCCAGAGGCATCGCTCCTTGGCCTTTTGGCTAAGATCAAGGGTATTAGTCTAGTACCTGTGATCAGTTTGATATGGGATGGCATTTACTATAGTAAATGGATATTTGGAGCAGGGAGATGGAATAGGAGCTCTCTCCATCCACTCCAGCATTGACCTGCTATTGCAGCAGGGCACCACCTGCCAGGGGATTAAAAAAAAAAAAAAAAAAAAACAGAGGCAGCATATTCCTTGATTGGATACTGATTCGAACCCATCAACTGAACTCTTTTTCTCAATCAGGGAAAATGAACAGTGACCGGGGATTAGATGATACTGAGATATTATTACTAATTATGGTGAGCGTGATAAAACTATTGCGTTTGTGTGTATGTTTTTGTCCGCACTAAGCTCTTATCTCACAGAGACACATACTAAAGTATTTATGGAAGAAATGACAATGTCTGGGATTTACTTTAAAGTACTCCAGCCAAAAGAAAAAAAAAATGCATTGACAGAATAGATAAAACAAGCATGGCAGACTGCTGCTAATTGCTAGCTGCAGCAGATGGGCACCTAGAGTTCCCTAACTATTCTCTCTGCATTTTAAAATGTTAAAAAGAAAGAGAACTAACTACATATCCCACAGGCCCTGACTGTTCCAGTTCACAACAGGACCTCCGGCTCCCAGTGTTCCACGCTCCCTCGGCTCCTGCCTACGCCTGCCATGGGCCCCCATCCTTAGCACACTCCCTTGAGCCTGTCCCTGTGTCAATGGTTTGTCCCCAAAATGTCTCACTCTTTCACTCATCCTCTCCAAAGCCACCTCTCCTTCCCAGCTCTGCCCTCAGCGCCTTCTGGAAACCTTCCAGCTGCTCTCCCCATCCCCGTGGGGAGCCTCCTGGGGGTCCCAGACAAATTAACTTTTGACATTGATGGTCGTGCAGAGTGGTGAGCAAGTTCTTCCCTTCCTCGCTCTGTGCTGTCGGGACAGGAGCAGGGGAGCTGGATGCCCGTACTGTTAGAGCTGAAAGGGCAAGCTAAGTTTCAGCATCCTCTTGTCAAGCTCTACTGAGCAAGCTCAGGACACATTTCTCAAACTTTAAGAGGGCTTTCTAGAACACGCATTGCTGGGTGCACCCCCAGAACTGCAGGTTGGGTAGGTCTAGGGTGGGGCCCATGAAGTTGCATCTCTAACATGTTCTCAAGTAATGAAGTTGTGCTCCAGGGCCCACACTTTGAGAACCACTGCATCGAGAAAGGTCATCTCTATGGTAAAGTCGTATCTCTAGGTCAGGATGAGATCACACATCTATCTCTGACATCAGGCCAAAGTCCCCTCTCTACTCACAATGGGATTCTGTTGCAGCACCGTGCGCTCCAGGTCACCTTGTTCCCAGAATTCGGCAGCAACCAGCAGAGCTACCTGAAACAGACAGACCCTCATGTACACATGCGAAGTCAAAGCCCCAGCCCAATCCCTTACCCCTGCTCCCACCCCACTTGCATTTCCACCTCAGCACAAAAGGTAAACCCACCCTGCCCCCCACCCCCACTTTGTGGTCATCATTGGAGAGACCCTAAAGTGAGTCTCATGTCATGGCAGAGGAGGATGGAGCAGAGATGAGCTGGCTCTGGCGCTGGACTGAGAGAGTCCAAGCCTCATTACCTGCTGCCACCAGCACTGGAGTTCCCTCGTCCCAGGTCAGGAGGAGTCCCTACCTTGCTCTGCACCTCCCAGGGCTTGGTGATGGCCGAGAGATCACAGGCAGTCATCATCATGGCCCTGTGCACAGAATGCCTCCGTCAGTCCAGGGCCATTTAAGACTGCTAGCACCAGTCAATTCCAGCTCTCTCTCCTGTCTCCACCCCTGCTAGCAGGCGACTTCACCCCATAGTGAGGAAAGGGCTCACTCTCCCATTGCATGGGGGTCGGGCTTTGAAGTCAGACAGAAAGTTAAATCCTGCCTCTGCCAATGATCAGAGGTTTGACCTTGGGCAACTAAGCCAACCTCGGTAAGCCTCCCTTTCCCTGTCTATAATGATAATGGAACTTTCCTCCTGGAGTAGGTGTAAGGTTAAATGAGATGATGTGCATAGAAATCTTAGTATAGGACCTGGGCATAGTTCATACACAATAAACCTATGTGGGGTTTTTCTTATGTACCTAGACCTGTACAAACACCAGTTTCACTTAAATCTCATCACATCTTCAGAGCCCCTTCTCTCTTGTCTAGTGTAGAGCAATGTTCTCAACCTTTTTCTCATTATTGCCCCTTGCCCCGACTACCAAAGAGCCTTTTTTAGACATTTTTTTCATAATTGCCCCCACCATGAACCTTTTCTCACTCAGACCCAAAGTAGCAACATGTGCTAGGCGAACTGCTGTTGAGAAATATCGCCACCATTGTCACCCAGCATGAACTCTTAATACCACAGATGTGCTATCTATCTGTTTGAAGAGCCTCCTACCATTGTATTGATAATATCTAAGATGTTTTGCTCTCCTCTCCCAAGAACCACTTATTGCTCCGTCTGGCGGAGGCAGGATACCTGTCTTCTATCAGTCAGTCAGCTTTTCTGATTTAGGAGTTTCATTAATACCGATGGATTTCTTTCCCTTCTGGGCAGTTTCCTCACCTGGCAGAGATGCTCACAAAAAACATTTAAAAATGAAAAAAAGAAAATGCATGGTGCAAAGAGAACTGAGAGCCAGTTGTAGCAAGGATGCCTTGTGTTAAGAAGTAGTGGGAGTCCTGAATCACATCAGGGTCAAAAAATAAAATAAAAAATAAAATAAAATTTATAGAAATAAAAGTAAAAGAAAAAGGAAGTAGTGGAAGGATGTGAGGGAAAAAGGACTCCAAGATAAGGTAAGACAGGTGTTATTACACAGGTGGGTACAATATAAAGCAGAAAGTGAGCAAAGAAAGAGACAAAGATTTGGAGCACAAGGAGGGAGCAAGGGTGGGGGGTTTGAGAAGGCATTTCGGAGCAGGTAATCCAGGTAAATCCAGGGTCAGCTGGTGTGGGCCCTAAACTCCATGCTGGGGAGTGTAGACTGTATCCAGTAAGCAGTGGGGTGCGGCTGAAGGTTAAGGGCGCAGGGATGACCCTGCAACACCTGCAGGGCGGGGCAGGATGGAGAGCGCAGACGGAAGGAGGTGCTGCAGTGGTTCAGCAGGTGGGCGGGAGGGCCCGGCCTGGCTGCAGCAGCAGGTGGACTCAGACCCACAGCAGGGGCTTGGGAGAGGAAGTAGACAGAGACACCGGGACTCTGAAAACTGACTGCTTGGATGATTTCACAATGAATCAGCTGTATGGGGTATATTTTATGAAAGTCTGGTCTGGGAGGCTGTTAAGAGTTGCTCATAAAATACGAACAAGTTTAAATAAAATCTTTAATTACATAAACTCTCAAAAATTCATATCATTCTCCCCCTCTATTTACCTACCACCTCGTAAAGGAATAATTCTCTTTAATTCTATCAATTCCACTAACGACTTAATATGAGGTAGAGACAGGAGACTATATATTGGAGATGAAGATTGCTTGCTAAATAAGACCACAAAATTACACTTGTACCCCACAAATTCATACAAATAAAAAAAGGAGCTATCTTAAACCAAAGATTCATATAATTATTTAAGCATATAAGCTTGCAGAAATGCGTACATTCCCTAGAGACAACTTTTTGCTTTGTGATAACCTCAGACTGTGTGTCCGATGCTTAATGCTCAGCGGTGTGCACTGTTCAGCTTATTGGCAGGTGGATTCATGCTCAGCTGTGCACACTAGTGTCACTGGCCGCCTGACGCCCGGCAGTGTCCACATTCTAAGTCCACGGGTGTGGCTGCAGGAGAGCACTGGGTGTTTACTTTCCTTGGCTGGTGTTTCGTGAGAAACAACCTGTAAAGGTTGGGGAAACACACCTGCTGTTTATAGACAGAGCTTTGGTGTGTGCATGGGATGAGGAGAGGACGTGCCTAAAGATGAGGCCTTCCTTGCGGTCGCTTCAGCACCGCCTCATCATGCACAGTGGGGCCCCGGATGCTATGCTAGGCGTGGTGGATCCAGAGTCACGCAAGGAACACAGAGCAAAAACAAACTGTCATCACAATATGCTAAATGGGATGGCAAAAACAAGTACAAGGTGCAAAAAAAAAAGAAAAAAAAATCCCAAGGTGAGAGCAACTAGCCCAGCCCAGGCCACCTAAGAGGGGACAGTGGAGGGCCTTGAAGAGTGCATAGGAGGTCTCTGTTGTGGACAAAATCTGTCTCCCCCAAATTTATATGTTGAAGCCCTAAGCCCCAGTGTGATGATATCAGGAGGCAGGGCCTTTGGGAGGTCATTAGGTTTAGATGAGGTCAAAGGGCAGAGCTGGCATGATGGGGTAGTGCCCTTATAAGAAGAGGAAGAGACACAGAGCTCTCTCTCCGCCTTGGGAAGACATGGGGGCAAGGTGGCCATCCGCCAGGCAGGAAGAGGCTGGGTCCGCATGGCTCCCCGCTCGCTTTGCACGTTGATCCTGCACTTGCATGTAAACAAGCAACTTCTCTGAAGGAGAGGAGTTCCATTCTTGGAGGTAAGATAGCAAGAAAAACTGACCAAGGTCTGGAAGGTCAGGGAGGGCTTCCCTGGGGAAGTGTCCCTGGAGCGGACAACTCAAGGTAAATTAACAGTAAAGGCCGGGTGGGGTGGCTCACGCCTGTAATCCTAGCACTCTGGGAGGCCGAGGCTGGCAGATTGCTCGAGGTCAGGAGTTCGAAACCAGCCTGAGCAAGAGCAAGACCCTGTCTGTACTATAAACAGAAAGAAATTAATTGGCCAACTAAAAATATATAGAAAAAAATTAGCGGGGCATGGTGGTGCGTGCCTGTAGTCCTAGCTACTCGGGAGGCTGAGGCAGGAGAATCGCCTGAGCCCAGGAGTTTGAGGTTGGTGTGAGCTAAGCTGACGCCACGGCACTCTAGCCCCGGAGACAGAGTGAGACTCTATCTCATGAAAAAAAAAAAAAAAACAGTCAAGGAGGGAGCGGGGGAACACATTCCAGGCAGAGAGGACATCTAGGCACAGGCCCCGTGGAAGGAAGGTGGGAGGAGCTCGGGGAGCAGGAGGAAAGGTGGGCAAGTGGAGCCCAGAGAGGAGCAGAGCAGCCCACACAGAGCCCAGGCACCACTGCGAGGGACAGTCTTCACACTGGGAGCAACGGGAAAGGCCACTGAAGAGAGAGAACAGAAGGGCGACACAGATTTCACAAAGATCCCTGTGGCTTTGGCATGGAGGGGACACATGCCCATGCAGGAAGCTAGTTAGGAAGGCACTGAAGGATCCCATGGGAGATGGAGGAGGCAACAAAGAGAAGTGTCCAGATAGACATGGCATTTAAGAAGTCATCTCAGCAGGACTTGGGGACAGAATAGACATGTAAAGTGAGGAAGATGGAGGAGTCAGGGTGGAAGAGAGATAAGGACACGTGGTTATAAAGCAGAAGGGAGCAAGAGTGAGCCATGAAGATCTTGCATGCTCAGCAGTCTGAGCCTTCTGCTCTCAGCAGACAAGTCACCAAGATGAGGGGATGGAGTTTGATAGGAGAATAGTATAAAATTCCATGCAGGGGGCTGGTAAAGGTGGCTCACACCTGTAATCCCAGCTATTTGGGGGGTCTGAGGCAGGAGTATCCCTTGAGGCCAGGAGTTCCAGACCAGCCTAGGCAACATAACAAGACCCAACCTCTACAAAAAATTTAAAAATTAGCTGGGTGTGGTACTGGTGCACCTGTAGTCCTGGCTACTCAGGAAGCTATGTTGGGAAGATCACTTGAGCCCAGGAATTCGAGGTTGCAGTGAGCTATAATCCAGCCACTGTATTCCAGCCTGGGTGACAGAGCAAGACTTTGTCTAAATAATAATAATAATAATTCCATGCCAGGCTTTGGATCAGACAGAACTGAATGAGATCTTCCATCTGCTCCATCTTCCATCTTACTTGTTGTGTCTAGGGCAGGTGACTTAATGTCTTTGAGCCTTAGTCTGTTCATTTGTAAAATGAGATAATTATATTATGTTGGAGCCTATGAAATTCCAATTTTGTGGGTCAAAAACCATCGAAATTCAGCAGTTCATATGGTTCCATGTAACATATCCTTCCTAAGAGTTATAGTGCCGATCACATAAGATGATTTTGTAAGTGCGCTCATTGCCCTCCTCTTCAATCCTCCCCTGCTCATTCAAGGTCGCCATGGTCCGTCCCCAAGGCAAATGTCTCTTCCTGAACTCAGCTGCGAGGCTCAGTGGCATTTCTTCCTGACCCCTGGTCGACTTTCAGAGGAAGGCATTCCAGCCATCCTCTTACTCAGCCTTTTCAGAGAACACTGACTCAGACCGGCTCTGGAATGACACCTGCCTAGAGGGTGTGGCAGGGGCCCCTGCTGGGGAAGAACTTGGAGGAGCCTGAGAGAGCCCTAGGTGTGCAGGTGACGGCTGACATGGCTGAGTGCCCGTCCCTACCATCCACGAATGCCTGTATGACACTAGCCAAGTCACTTTGTCTCTGGGCCCCACTTTACTCATTTGTAAAACACTAGCGCAGAAGTCAGCAAACTCTTTCAGTAAAGGACAGGACAGTAAATATTTGAGATTTTGCAGACCACACGGTCTCTGTTGCACAATGCAGCCTTACACTGTGACTCAGCCGTAGATAAGCATAGAATCAATAAGAAGGTCAACGTATCCATTCAGCAGAGCAATAAGAGCCCGTGATAGTTTTCAGGGCCGTGAAAATA